AAGAAAACAGGACAGTAAAAGTTACAGTGCAAGAACTGCAGTTATCTGGGAGTTTGTTCCAGATATACGGAGCATAATAACTGAACGCTGCTTCTCCTTGTTTAGTTTTGACTCTGGGGACAGAAAGCAAACCATCCCCAGACGACCTGAGAGGTCTGGATGGTTCATAACGAAGCAGAAGAAGAAATGTATTTTGGCCCTAAACCAGCTTTATAAACTAACAGCAGGATTTTGAAATCAATTCTTTGACATACAGGAAGCTTATGTAAAGACCAGTACAGTACAGCAGTTCTAAGCAGAAAATAAGGCACAAAGATTAAGAATGATTAATACTAATTAAGGATAATAAAATGATGAATTAATAATGATTACTTATTAATACTGATTAAAGATAATCACTGATGACTGTTTTGTCTCCACTGCTCCCTCTCTCTGTGTCCTAGACATGCCCTCTGCTGATCATGCTATTTTAACCATAATTTGACTTTATGGAATAAGCTGGTGTCTTTTGTGCTGTGTGCTAGAGACAGGACATTCTTACTGTGATGGACTATATTGAAGTATGTTTTGCAACACCATTTTCACAAGTTCTGCTTCTACATTTTCCTTTGCTGGTGTTTTTGATGATGCCTTGCTATCTCACTGTGCTCCCAAAGCACAACACATTCCAGACTTTTCCTCCATTGATAATAATAATCCTTATTTGTAGAGCACTTTTCAAAAACAAGTTACAAAGTGCTTTAACAAGTGTAAAGAATAAAAAAAAAAACAATATAAGAGAATGAAAAATTAATATAAAATTAGTAAAATACAATAAAATAAAAGGGATAAAATAAAGTCAAATAAGATCGGGAAAGGCTCTCCTATAAAAGTATGTTTTTAGAAAGGACTTAAGAGTTCAGTGACTCCTCGGGCAAGCTGTTCCAGAGCCTTGGGGCCCTGACAGCAAACGCTCTGTCCCCTTTAGTTTTCAGTCGAGACTCTGGAACAGACAGCAGACCTCTGCCCGAGGATCTCAAGGTACGTGCTGGTGCGTATGGGACTAAAAGGTCAGAAATATAACAAGGCGAGAGGCCATGAAGAGCTTTAAAAGTGATCAATAGAATTTTAAAGTCAATTCTAAAACATACTGGGAGCCAGTGTAATGAAGCTAAAGGTGTAATGTGGTCATATTTCTTTGTTCTGGTTAAAAGCCTGGCAGCTGAGTTCTGGACAGTCTGGAGTCGATCAATAGATTTTTGGGTTAAACAGGTGAAAAGGCTGTTGCAATAATCCAGGTGTGATGAGATGAAGGCGTGTAAAATGGTCTCGGTGTCCTTAAAAGTTAACATAGATCGAATTTTAGCTATATTTCTAAGTTGATAAAAAACATGATTGAACAAGCTTTGTGGTGTGCTGCTCAAAATTTAAATTACTATCAAACCAAACACCAAGGTTCTTTGCCACAGGCTTAATGTGATTTACTAGGTGCCATCTGCTGAGACCCGATAACCAGGATTTCTGTTTTGTCTGAGTTCAGCTGGAGGAAATTATTTGACATCCATTTTTTAACTTCACAAAGGCAGTTAAGTGAACTCAGCATTCCAGGGTCTGTGGATCTGACGGGCAAGTATATTTGTGTGTCATCAGCATAAATATGAAAAGAAATGCCATGTTTATGGATAATATGTCCAAGGGGAAGCAGATACAAGGAAAACAAAATGGGTCCTAAGACCGACCCCTGAGGCACACCATATTTAACTGGACAGAACGAAGAGACATAGTTGTTTACAGACACACAAAACTTCCTATTTGACAGGTAGGATGAAAACCATTCTAGGGCAGTACCAGAGATCCCCACCCAGTGCCTCAGTCTGTCTAACATGATGTTGTGATCAATGGTGTCAAAAGCAGCACTAAGGTCCAGGAGTACCAGGACTGAGCACATACCTTCATCAGCAGACATTAAAAGGTCATTGGTGACTTTAAGCAGGGCAGTCTCAGTGCTGTGGTACTTCCTGAAACCAGACTGAAACTTTTCAAATAATTAGTTATTTTCCTGTACAGTGAGCAGCTGTTTGGACACAATTCTTTCTAGAATCTTTGCAATAAAAGGCAGTTTTGAAATTGGTCTAAAATTTTGTGGGAGGGAGGGATCTAAACCAGTTTTCTTTAAAAGTGTGTTCACGTAAGCCATTTTAAAATAATCAGGAACTCAACCAGTAGATAGGGAGCTGTTTAAAACAGATCAAATGGGGCCCAACAGAATCCATTACTTTCAGTAAAAACTTTGTAGGTATTACATCAAGTGGGCTGGAGGATACTCTCATTAGTGATACTGTTTTTAAAAGCTCAGACAAGTCGATGGGATAAAACTGGGTAAAACTCTTGTTGCTGGTGAGGAACCTCTGAGTAAGAGGCCACGGGTGTAATAGAGGCTCTGATTGACACCACCTTATTGGTAAAATAAGATAAAAACAATTCACAGTCATCATTACTTCCAGCTGAGGCACAAGGAGGGGTTGGGTTTACCAGCTGATCCACAGTCAGAAACCTGGGATTGTGTTTATGTGTAGTAATGAGTTCAGAAAAATCCTTGATCCTAATGTGTTAGAGGCCATGAGGGTTCCCAAATGAGTTTAAAGCAAGAAATCAAATCGCGTCCAGATTTGAATCAAGTCTCTGTTGATGTGGCTGTATAGATTAACAAAAAGGTGGAGATGGTGAATACTTTTATTACAATCAACCGTCAAAGCTAGTGACTGTTAAACATTGAGATATTTACATGCGATTGTCCAAAAGACTGAATTCATTTTAAGGAATTCATTTACAAATAAAGACCAAACTATTAACAATTTCTTTGCGGTGACAGGACCACTAGATTGGTGAGTAATGCACACACTTGGAAAAGCTTTTATCTGATGGATCCAGGCAACAGTTTGTTTTTTTTTTATTTCAAAACAAAGGTCTCAGACACAAAAGTAGTCTTGCAAAGAAACATTTACACCTGTAGCTTTCGTAGATGTCCCTTTTTTATCCCGCAGGTTAATCTAGGAGACATTATAGATGCCACACCATAAGTCAGTTATGAATATGTGATGCATGATATTTGATAGCCGAGGTTCTCATCCAGGATGAGTACAAATATATTTGATCCCCTGCTTATTCATAACTTAATGTCTATGTTCTGCAAAGTTAGCTAAGGCTTCTCTATTGTCAATTTTCTGTACTTGGATGTCCATATATGACCAGAGGGAGGATTGTTATGGCAGAAAATTGTGTCCTCTTACATTTAATTTTATGTATGTTCTTTTACTATTATTACTAATTTTGTTATGGCCTATAGATATATGTATTGTGTTTTTATCCTTAACCTTTCCTCTCCTATACTCCTTATGTTAGTCTGTTCACATTTACTAGGGTTTAGATGAGAGCTGTGAAATTGTTTGTGTTATCCCCCTCTTGTTGTTCCTCTCCTGTAATGTTCATTCAGGCTGAGAGAGGATCTGCGTTCCCCAAAACATAGAAACCTAGACTGTAAATGATTATGCAGGTCTCTGGACCAGCTGTATGTGTTTTAGTACTTTTCTGTTTATTCTCTTTTGTTAATTAATTCTTCAAAGACAACATTTGGTTGTTAGTCAATTATTTGCTTAATCCCTCACCAGCAAGATACAATTTCCATGACAGTCGCTTACTTAGATATCAACTGCAGCAAGCCAACTAATCTGCCACTTATACTGAGCACAATGGTAGTTCTACATGTTAGCCCAATATCAGTTCACACACAGGATTAGTGCCGTGTTAATTGTAGTAAGAGATTCACTGATTGCATTTTTCTTGGGTGATTCCAATTACCGATTATTTAAAGGTCTAGCGTGCCAATTCCAAGTGTTACAGCATACACAAACATCTTTGTAACTTTTCTTTGACTATGAATTTTTTATTTTTTTTATTAGGATCCCCATCAGCACCAGCATAAACGTTGGCTATTCTCTTTCTTCCTCCTTGTATCTGTCTGCTCTGCCTTTGTCAGCATTTTTATAAAAGACAACTCGCATTTTATACTTTTCAACTACGATTCCGTTTACACAGCAGCAGGTGAGCCACTGTGGCTCACCTGCAACAACAGCTGTGTTCACGGTTGTTTTACCTTTCTCTGCAGGTGTGCCTTCTTCACTCTAGTGACCAAACAAGCTACAATAGACAGAGGACTTATGGAAAAATACATTGGTTATCATATTTTTTGTCATGATTAATTTAATTCATCATCTGTATTAAAGAGGAAAACTATAAAAAAAAAAATTTAAAAATCAGTTCATCTGTTGTTCTAAGTGAATAAAAAGACCTGCCAGCCTTACTGCGCATGATTGCGCAGCAGAACCGTGGTTTAATGACGTAGAGCAACGGCAGAAATACTGTAATTCTAATAGCTGCACCAACATAAGGTTTCATGGCTCAGTGTGTTTGTCTGAGTCAGATCGTTTATTTAATCAGCCAACCTACAAGGCTCACCTGCCAAACACCAATGCAGCGTCACTGATGGCTGAATAGTTTTTTTAGATTGCCAAGAGTTTATAATCTAAGCAATATGGTTCTCTCATGTGAGACTGGCTGTCACAGGGTTTTGACGTCATTTTGGGCCTACATGGAACCCTCCATGCAGGCTTTGGTCCGCTTCACTGTTCGATCTCTGGCTTACCCCCTTGGGGGGTAAGCAGGCAGTGGACCAAACCACTGTGAGGCAAGGGAGGGGGGGGACCCAAAATGTTTCTAAACTTAGAACACACGTTTATTGTCCTATTTGCGTTTTTTATTGTTTTACTACTTACAAAATTATTTTAAGTATATATCATTTTATTATTTATTTTTGGGGGGGGTGGAGGGGTCCTGACCCCCCCGCGATTTCCGCCACTGCGCTGCGCCCTGAGAACCTGCTGCCGCCTACTACTTAAGAGATGGATCTGATACCGGAACGCATCAACAGCGGCACATTTGTCTCCATCCCATAAAAAACGGGGTTTTCTGTTATTCTTTTCATCCTTCTATGCTAAGATCACAGTTCAAATGGACATCTACACCTCCACTTTGTCACCAGCGCTGGACATCGGCACAGGATGTTATCTGCTGGTTATAGGTAAGTCAAAAGTCGCTGTCTAACGCTCGCGGCTTTGCATCCGTGCTTGGCTAAGTTATGAGTAAAATATTGAAATCGTTTCATCCCATGATTTGATTCCTCGAAAATACAATAAAAGGGCATTTTTTCTCCCCATAATCAGTTGCACAGTTGGCTAACACTTGTGTATATTGGACTGCACTCATGGAGTATGAGAATAGGCTGACGGTGAGATGGGTAAACTTCTCTTTATAGAAAAAAAACCTGGCCAAGCTGAGAGAAGTCTCTGCTGTCTAGGGATTTCTAGTTTTCTCCCTCAACTAAAACTTTCAGGATAGGAGAGATGTCATGTTGCCTGAATCTATATAAATTTAAACCTGAGCACCTCATTCTTGAGGGACGCATTCTTCCATTAATCACTATGTGGGGGACAGTTTACACCACACTTTAAATGTTGAGACTTAGTTTTCAACAAAGAATGGTGTTAGGCATAGTGGTAATGATTAAGTTTAGTGAAAGTCAATGTATGATAACAGTCTGGAACTTTATCATAAGACAGTAAATCTTTTTAACAAGCAGAGACAGAAAGATGGAGCTACTGAGCATATTGACAGAAGGATAAGTGATTTTGGTGGCATTTATACTGTATAAATAGAAAATGACAAATTTAAATGTTTTCAAATATATTCTCAGTATTTCATAGTATTGATGATTACTGAGGCAAGCATTACACTAGTAAGTTCACACTTCATAGGTTTTGCCAAAGACTGTCTTTCTGATATCATTAACTCATTTGTCACCCTGATAATCAAGGAAACTGGTATTGGGGATTATTGGCTGCAAACTGAATGGTTCAGTGACATCCAAGTAAATTGATTTAACTTAACATAATGTCACACGTTATACATTATGTGAACATAGAAAAAAGTAAAATTTTATGCACACATACAGTAAAAGAAATATAGCAAAAGTCAAAGTGACATGGGAGGTGAAGACATGCCTTATTATAACCTGATTTGTTTCTTGTAACATTCAAGAACCTGGATGCCAGGAGTGGATAAAGGAAAGGTGGGTTACATTCATTACATACATCATCTCCTTTCAATTAGCTGCACCCATTGTAGGATGAATGTACAGCATTTAGTCTACCGTTAGCACTGAAATAAAGTGGGATCTCAGCTCTAATATGACTGCTTTGATTCAGGTCATCATGAGGCAAGCCTTTTCTCAGATGGTTTGCACCAATTACACTGAATAATGAAACTAATCACAAACAGACACGAATTATGTTCAAGACTTGCTCTAAAACAGACATTTTAGGGACTGTATGAGAAGTATTGTTGAGGAGACTATTTTTCACTTTGTAATAAACTAAGGCTCACCCTAAAATATGTCAAAATAATATCCATCCATTATCAACCACTTGTCCTGTGTACAGGGTCAGAGGGGGCTAGTGTCACGGTTTTGTGGTGAAGGCAGGTTTGAGCAGGTTGGAGGACCCAAACATAGGACACGAAGGCTGGCAGGTGCAGTTCAGTGGTTTATTTAAGGCAACTAAAGACAAGCACACTTACAGACTGAGTGGCTGATTGACAGAGTCCAAAAACAAAGGTTGTCCAACAGAAATCCAAAATGAGCAGGGAGACACAACGAGTGAGGCAAAACAACAAGAGAACATACTGCAGCACTGGGTAACAACAAACAACGACCCAACAAAGACAAGACAGAAACACCAGGTATATACACAGGGACTAACGAGCAGGGTGGGAGCAACACAGGTGACAGACATGAGGCTAACGAGACACAGGTAGGCAGAGAGAGAGCAGGGGAAAACAGAGACAGACATGAAGAGGGATCACTGGGGTAACAGACATGACAAAGGTTGGAGCCAATTCCAGCTGACATTGGGCGAAAGACAGGGTACAGCCTGGACATGTCACCAGTCCATCGCAGGGCCACATATAGACAAACAACCAGTCACACACTCAAGGACAACTTAGACACAAATTAAACGAGCCTGCACATCTTTGGATGGTGGGAGGAAGCCAGAAAGAACCCATGCAGACACAGGGAGAACATGCAAACTCCACAGAAAGGCCTGCAACGAACCCACAACCTTCTTGCTGTGAGGCGACAGTGCTGACCACTGCACCACCGTGCCACCTGTGAAAATAATATAACTATCTAAAATTAGCACAACTTGTTTGTGTACCCCAATTTAAAGCTTAATTTCTTAATGGAACTTCTAATGCGTGCTGCCAAAGTACACATCAATATGACTATACATAGAAATAAATGTTTTAGGTTCCATTGGTATCTTTTGGCCATTCATCATCATCCTTATATGGTCATCAAATATGGCTTGGGTGTTCAGAAACAGTGGGAGCTACATGGTGTTAAGCTTGCTGATATTAACAGCTTTAAAGAATCATCACCAACTAGTTTTAGTGGATATTTATTATGTATGTGTGTGTGAGGTTCACAGGTGTAGGCAATTTGCATAACATCTATTGATCTCTCTGTGCATAACCAACATATATCTACTTGTCAATCTCCTTGGAACCACTGCTCCATTTAACCCATGTCTCATGTAATCCCTTTCTAGTCAATATTGTACCATTAGACCATTATTGAGGATTATTGTCAGAAGGACAGAGAAAGCATCATTATCTGCCTCATCTATCTATCAGTTCAATTCAATAGGGTTCTATTGGCATTGCTAAAGCAACTATGTATTTCATAGCCATATATATATTTATATATATATATTTCATAGCCTTCTTTAATATATATATGTATGTGTGTGTATATGTATATTTCATAGCCTTCTTTAATATATATATATATATGTATATGTATGTGTGTGTATATGTATATTTCATAGCCTTCTTTTACATTGTTGCTGGGCTTTTTCAGTTCAGCATCCCTGTACTCCTCTGTGAGATAGTGCTCATTAACTGTCCAAGAGCCATTTTCCTTAAAAGACCTAGCAGTGAGGCTCACTTGAGATGTTCCCATTGATTCTTTTTTGGCTTTGTGCAGTCAGTGGTAAGAGAAATTGGTTTGGCTGCACTTTCATGAAGGTGATTATCAGTGAGCTGGAACCTGATTGGGTCACTGGGCTTTGTGCTTAAGTACTTCCACAGCTGATCCTGTAGGGTTTAGAGTTAGTTTTAGGAAGGTAGATAGAGCAAAGAAGGTTACATGCTGAAGGAGTCTGTCTCCATATTGGGGTGCAGAAAAATGCATTTAAACTTGAGCTTTTAAGTTAAGATGGCTTGCGTTATCAGTAAATAGAGATAAATTTGCCACTTTGCAAATATAGTGATAGTGTCTCCAAGGTGGGACTTGCTTAATTGTTACATGAAATAGCAGCTGTGTGAAAGTTGCTAAGGTCTATATGTTAAACCCTAAGCAACACAAATGAGGGGCTAATGATATTTAAAGCATGTTTAATTGAAATTGCAGTTTGCCCACTACCCCCCTGAGTGAATCTCTACCTAGTAGGATACCCTAGAACAATTTTTCAATGGAAAAGTCAACAAGATAAGTTACCATGTCAACAAGAGGGTGAGAGTCAGGAACAAGATGTTGCTGTACAGATCACGATGCTCAGAAATTATCAGTACCTCTCGAAACAGGTAGCTGAACTGGTTCATCTTCAAGCTAGGTAACAAAGATTGAGCTCTATTTATAATTGCAAGTGATAAGCCTCAAGCTCTGCAGGTGAAGTTTCAATGTTTTGACACGTTTGGCATCTATTAGATTATTAAGATAATCTAAAAAGCGTCGAGATCCGGTGAGCGCCACAGGTGGACCAACGATTAGTCTATCAGTGAAACCACAGACATGACTAATGCAGTTGTCAAGCATTGTCACACTGTGCCTCAAATGCCTCAACAGCCAATAAGGTTGTGCATTTTTGTACTGTCATCATATCAAACCTGCTCCATCTTAGATAAACGGTTGAGATTCAGGGCAGATGGAAATCCGTTTGAATCGGAGGGGGACCAGATGCATCTGCCAGAGCAAATAAAACGCAAACTCACAGATTTGTCTGGTCCCTAGGCCACGATATCCCAGTTGGTTTATCGCTTTGGGGAAAACAACTGAAGAAAATGTAAATGTCTAGTGTTAAAAGCATAGTCTACATGGTCCTGTTGACTGAGATGAAAGTACCTATAAAAATCCTCCATGCAATCTTGCTATTATGCAACTGTAACCTTCCTGTGTACGTTAGTTCAACAATGTAAGTAGTTTGTTTTTACTTTGCTTCGCTCCACTGTTAAAATCCCACTGAAACCAGTGTTGCCATGGCTACGCATCAGTGTCTACTTAAAATTACATTACATTTGGGTGGATACGTTCGTCTCTAGTGGGTTGACAATTCTGTCTGATATCAGGCAAACCAAACTGTTGAAGCATATGAATAAAGCTACATATAAATTAACAAAAGTATACTACACAGTATAATACACTTATTATATTACACTAAATTTAGAGGCATTTCAATTGGAAAATTAGTTTGTCCTGTTTTGTTGGAGGTGTCAGAAAAGAATTAAGATGCACTTATGATTTGAAAGCCCTCTTTGAAGCAGGTGAGGGTCTTCCCGTAAGGGGCCATGGAAGCACTACAGGACTGCTTCAACGGTACTGACTGGTCTGTTTTCAGAGGTGGCCACCAACGATCAGATCACAGATGTTGTTGAGTATGCTGAGGCTGTTTCGGGCTACATGTTTTGAGAAGCTGGTTCTTCAACAAATAATGAACAACATCCCAACCAGCCTGGACCCTCACCAGTTTGCTTTCAGAACCAACAGATCCACAGAGGATGTCTTGTGTTAGTCTAAGTAGAAAAATGTAATTCAGCAAGACATGCAGCTTTTGCTGTGCTTGTGTGACCAGCAGAGAAAACTAATGCAGTAACAGACTTTTTGAGAGGAGGTGCAAGTCCCTAGGGTTTTGCTCCATAGATTACTGATTGCCCTGTTGACTGAGATGAAAGTACCTATAAAAATGTAAGTATATAACATGGGCATTCAATTCACCCTGTGGTGTCTTCGTCTTCTGAGTGAGAGACTGGGGATGACGTTCACATTTTAGAAGTGAGGTTGACTACATTTCCTGCCTCACTGTATAAATTGACACATTCCTCACATCTGGTATGAGGTGAAGTATCCAAAGGAACACAACCCTTCCGACAATCTTAGTATTATGCAACTGTGTCCTTCCTGTATAGGTTATTGAGCAAAGTCAAGTGCCGTCACTGCAAGAGCTACAGTAGTGTTAGTTATTTACCAATTTTCTGTTCCAAACAACAAATGAGAGCTGTTCCACTTCCTACCTTATCAGTGGCTAATGAGAATTATATCATCTTTAGCCATTTCTTTTAGAGATATAAACTGAGTAGATTTTCTGCTGAAGCTCAGCCCTGCTTTGAGTGCAAGTGAATCCCTCTCCCTTCCTCTTATTCTGGTTTTCTACCCTCTAAATAAGCTTCCTACATTGCTGAGGGGGGTCAACTGGAGGGTCGGAGGTGGACACAGGCTCCACATTGGATGGGAGATGTACAAGGCAGTTGTAGTCATTTTATATGTGCATTTAAAATTCAAGTAATAAGAACATTTCGAGTCAGTGTAACCAGCTTAAAGGAATCGTTCAACATTGCCAAATGAGAAGATCGTAACCTCTCTCTATTTGAGAAGCTGATTCTTCAGCACATAAAGAACAACATCCCAGCCAGCCTGGACCCTCACCAGTTTGCTTTCAGAACCAACAGATCCACAGAGGATGCCATCTCCACTGCCCTCCACTCAGCCCTCACACACCTTGAGAAAAACAACACCCACATCAGAATGCTGTTTGTGGATTTCAGCTCAGCATTCAACACAATCTCCCCATGAAACTGATCAGCAAACTCAGCACTCTGGATTTAAATACAACACTCAGCAACTGGAAATTGGACTTCATCACAAACAGACCCCAGTCAGTTCGGATTGGCAGACTCACCTCCTCCACTCCAGTGCTCAACACCGGAGCCCCCCAGGCCTGTGTGCTCAGCCCCCTCCTGTTCACGCTGTACACCCACGACTGCATCCCCCGACATGAAGAGAACTCAGTTGTGAAGTTTGAGGACGACGGCACCATCATCTGACGGATTTCAAACAATGATGAGACTTTGTATCGGGAGGAAATTGATCTTGCAGAGTGGTGTACAGAGAACAGCCTTTGCTCAACGTCAGCAAAAACAAGGATCTGATTATTGATTTTAGGAAAAAGGAGATAAAGACATACACTCCTGTCTACATCAGTGGTGCTTAGGTGGAGCAGGTGAACAGTTCCTGGGAATCATCACAGACAAGGGATGTGTATAGCCCAGGACTGGAGGGCTCTGCAGCGGGTGATTGAAACCGCTCAGAAGGTCATTGTTACCCATCTCCCAAGCATTGGTGATATCGATGAGGTGAGGTGCTTATGCAGAGCCCAAAGGATACTAAAGGAGAGTATCCACCCCAGCCACAGCCTGTTCGCCCTGCTGCCTTAAGGGAAGAGATATAGAAGTTTCTGCTGCCGCACCACCAGACTGCAGAGCAGCTTTTTCCCCCAAGCTATCAGACTCTTAAACTCAAATTCATCCTCAGCACTGCTCCAGTGATGATAGTTTATTTCTGTTTAACATTTCTATAAGTGCTTTAAAATGACTATATATATTGTCTGCTGCATAGCAGAAGGGAGGTACAAACTCAATTACACTTTACAACCTGTTGTAATGTGACAAATAAATCTACCTTGTGTCTTGTATCTGTCCATTAAATAGAGATCCAACATCCTAATGCCTGGTCCAGGTTAGCCTCTGTTCCATTAGCTTCTGTGACACACTGCCATCTCTCACAAAGCATTTCTTTTATCTGTCTTTCTGGGAAAAAAAGCTGTGGTTTACTTTCCATAATACATAAGACAAACTGGCATCCACTACAGCTTTTGCTATTAGAAACCTTCATAATTTTAAGCATCTAAATCCGTTCCAGGGCACAGGTACCTACCTCAATGTAACTTGGTTTTGTCCATATCCATAAAATGCTTTCTTATACAGCCATTTTAGAAATGTTAATTAACATGTTAGAGTATTACACAAGCTCTCTTAGCATCTAATACACAAAATAAACTCACAAAATGCTGAGAAAGAAAGAAAATATTCTTACTCATATTCCTTATCAAACAGAAAAATGCAACCACACACCCTCTGAATTCAAGTTACTCTCTTTCATCGCACCGATTGTCATGTTAACTTATCGTAAAACACAATTCTTTCAAACTCGACAAACTAAATAAAACTCACCAAAACCGGTGTGGTCAGTCTTTCCACTGTTCCAACAATCACCAACCCAACTCTGGTTTGGTCAAAAAACAACCTTAATTTACACAGTTGGATGTTAAAATATTCTGGCTCTGATTACTGTATGTTTTGGTTGGTTGGCTTAGTGTTTTGCAGGCTGCTAGTAGGTAGAGTTTGGGTCTTTAGGCAACCCTATAACCTCTGTTCTGGGGCTTCTTTGCTATAAAATGACTGTGTGGCTCATAGGCAACCTCCCCAACTTCCATCCATTCAGTACACTTTCACTCACCCCTGTTACATTACGCGCATGACTGAGCTGTACCCTCTTTACACAATTCATGATTATGTTCGGTTCATGAGTGTTCATTCTGTGTTTGGCCTGTGTGGCACTTCAGAAGGAGCACAAGCTGTTTTATTTTAGATGCATCAAGTTAAGGACTGTTCAAAGCAAACAAAGGACTGGTGAGAAACTCAATCTTAATTATAGAGTGTCCCTTGCCTTCCACAGGCATGTCAGCAGCTTGCCCCATGGGGATAAATAATGAAGATATAACTGTGGTAACAGTGTAACAGACTTTTCTAAAGTGGTGTTGTTTGTTGTTCTGTAATTTGTTCTTTGAGGTTTGCCTACAGCATTACCCAACAGAAACATGAATGAGTTAACACTAACAACAAAGAAAACAGGAGTACACCATAAATCAGGCAGTTTGTGCAGTGAACTGATAATGTGTCCTGTTAGCTCAGAGGCTTATGCCTCTTTTCCCTTCCTCAATTTAAACCATGTACTTTTTCATGCACAGCAAATATCTCAGAACATAAACAGTAAACTGGGCTTCTGGAGCTGCAATGATGCAACCAATGCCTTAAATACACTTTGCATAGCTGCTGTTTACAGGTTAGATCTCCATTCACATAGTTTTCACATCATCGGTCACTCAACAAGTATCCTCCGTTTCCTCCCTCTCTGTCTCTTTCTCCTGTTTGTCTCAGCTGTTTTCTCCATCGTGGGAAACCTGCTGGTCATCATCATGGCGGTTAAAAGGTCATCAAAGATGAAACCGCCAGAGCTGCTGAGCGTGAATCTGGCAGTGACAGACCTGGGAGCAGCTGTTACCATGTACCCCCTGGCTGTGGCCTCTGCCTGGAGCCACCACTGGCTGGGAGGAGATGCTACCTGTACATATTACGGTCTGGTGGGGTTCTTCTTCGGCGTTGCCAGCATCATGAATCTGACTATCTTGGCCATAGTGCGCTTCATTGTGTCCCTCAATCTGCAATCTCCCTGTGGGTAATTCAGGGCTCAAAAACACTAATTACAAAACCACATGTTTTTTAAAAAAGATTGATCATTTGGAACACGTTATTACAATGCAAATAGTATTCCGTAACTTCTAACTGCTGTGAAATCTAATTTTCACATTTTCCATGTTCAAAAACAATGCCATTAGTATTTAAGGGGTAGCTGATTCTAGCAGGGGTGATGAGACCATTTAGTGCTAAAACTGAATTCTGCCTTGCCAAACTTGATTACTGGTGATAACACAGATCTATAAGTGACAGATTTTTTTAGATTATTATAGCCCAAGCTTTTAATAGGTGCAAAAAGGAAAAATAAGAAATCTACTTTGCATGCAAGAAGGCAATTGGCTGCTTCTACCTAATATTTCCCTAACAGTAATATTTAAAATTCTCTTCAAGTGGAAGTAGCAGGACATGTCAACATATTCGTTCTTTTTAACATTGTTTTACTGTGAAAACTGCATCTGTCTGCCAGGAACACGTGGTAGCCAGCTGCGTCGCTGAATGACTTCTAGTCATCAGATGTTTCTGTCTTGTGTAATTCTGTTTAAAGCAGTGGTTTGACATTTTGAGCAATATGCTTTTTTTGCTGAGAGTTAGATTGACATAGCAGTATTGATACTTTTCTCATATTTGTCCAGTAAATAATATGGCTTTGGAGCTGTGGAGTCTGGATCAGTTGTTACATGTCGCCTGCCTCTACTATATTCCTGCTCGACACCCTTTGCTCCAATTTATATTACTAGTCTTATTTTTTTATTATTATTATTATCATTAAAATTACTAATTATCATTATCCATATTAATTTAGTCTGTACTACTACTAACTTCACTGTCTGTATGCAGTCTGGCACAATATAGCTTTCCGTTAAAACACAACCTTTCTTTTTGCACTTTGTAGTGCGCTTTAGAGGTGCAAATAGGAAGAGACGGCCACCTGTGGAAAGAGCAAGGCTAGCTGTTTCCCCTTGTACTTGTACATAAGTGTATATGCACATATGTATGTACTTGCTTGGCATGTTCAGGCACATGTATGCTTATATATAGTACTTAGTGTTTGTATATTTAACCAGACACCATTGCCTGTTTGATCGTGCCCTACTAGTGGATGAGTCCAGGAAGGACAGCTGTCCGTTAAATGGAGTGTAAATTGTGCTGACGATGGTCTGAATGACCAAAATGTTCACTTTTTCCTTTGACATTTAGTCATTTAATTGTCTTTTTTTCTGAATCTAAAGTGCCTGTTGTAACTCCTCGTCAGTGTGTTCACTTATTTCTACACGGCGGAGCTTTGTTAATATCCCAAAATATACATATATTCAAAGTGCACTCTAAAATGATAATGTTTTCTGTAACTGTCTTTAATGAGTCAGAGCATATGTTTAGGTGCAAACTGATAATTATTTTCTGCCACTGTAAAATCAGTAATGCCACTAGAGATTCATTAATATGTGGTAGATATTAACATAAGAACTAGTGCATTAGTTTGCAGTAGAGCAGTTCCTCAGACTGAATATGATTTTTTTTTTATTATATATATATTTGTCCCATCAGGTTTTACATCAGCAATATGTTTTCATCATTATTATTTGGGCATGCTCACTTTAATCCGTCCTTGCAGTCTACACTTAGTTTTGGGGAAATCAGGAATATAGTTCTTGTTTTTCCACAAAAGTGCTTTCATCATTTTGTCTTTCTGCAGGTCAGAAAATCAGCTGGAAGAAAGCAAAGCTGCTGTGCATGTGGATCTGGCTGTACGCTCTGATCTGGGCTCTGTTTCCCATTCTGGGCTGGGGAAGGTACGGGCCAGAGCCCTTTGGCCTGTCCTGTTCTCTTGCCTGGGGACAAATGAAACATGAGGGCTTCTCTTCCTTTGTCATCTCCATGTTCTCCTTCAACCTAGTCATACCCTCTGTCATCATCACCTGCAGCTACTTTAGCATCGCCATCAAGCTCTATTTCACCTACAAAAAGTCGATGAACAAGAACAACCGAGTCCTCAATATTGTCAAGATCCATCAAAGGCTGTTAATAGTAAGTGACTCTTTCTCATGAGAATTATAGGTTATTATAGGTTTGGGGACTCTTAGTTTAGATTGCCATAAGACATTTCCAAACAGTTTATGCTCATGTGCTTAAACAGTGAATTGAAAGGCTCTTGATGATATGGACAGTGGACATATATGTGGACAATATGTTATCTGTATATCCATTACTTTTAGTGATATATGTTAGTTTAGTTATATATGTTAACAACCATTTATCCATTAGTATATTTATTTAACTATTTTTACCATTTATCCATTCATTTAGCTAACTATTGAGATCTTGTGGGAATTTTTATGACTCTATCATCCTGTTCTATTGCAGATCGCTGTGCTGATCAGCATAGGCTTCATAGGCTGCTGGACGCCCTACGGCCTGGTAAGCCTGTGGTCTATTTTCAGGGACAGTAGCGCCATCCCACCTGAAGTCAGTCTCCTGCCGTGCATGTTTGCAAAGAGCTCCACCGTATACAACCCTATAATCTACTACATCTTCAGCCAGAGCTTCAAAAGGGAGGTAAAGAAGCTGTGCTGGTTGTGCCTACCCTTTAAACCAGTGGACATTTCCAACAACATCAATGACAATAACATTTATATGATTAATGTTGACAATAAGTCCAGAGTAGAAGCACAGCCTACTTTGCAGGAAATCACAAAGACAGTAGGTTTATCTCAGTTCTCTTAATACCCTCCCTTGCTTGTTTTCCTTGCGCCTTCTCCCCGCCCACTGGGGATACACGGAGAGATGCAAGGAAACCATGCGAGGATAGAAGAAACGAGGAAATCATTTCTCACAGAATGGAGACATCTTTTCCTCCGTAGAGTCACGTAAAGCGGCACCTGATCGCAGCTGGATCAGCTGTCAGCTGTAGAGAATGTTGATGGAGTTTGTGTCTGCACATATCTACCTCAGTCGAGGCCAATCTCCACATTCACTCCATTCACAACAGACCGTGTCTACTGTAAGCGTTTGGTTGAAATATTTTTCTGTTTACTGTTCATACCATTAACATATTGTTCTTTTAGTTTAAAACAACAAATAGTTAAAAACAGTCAAGTGTCTTTAGAGTTAGTCAAGTTCACTCCCATAATTAAGGCAACAGGAAATATTTATACATATAATTTATGTGTACTTTTGGAGTGTTTGTTTGTCACCTTGCATTTCCTCAGAACTCTGACTAGACTTATGTTTATCATCATGAAGCTGTGGTAGCTCTGAATAACTAGAGATATTTTCACCTGACAGGAACGGGTACAGGCCCACACGACTTTATTTTCCAGATTACAGATCTAAGCGAATGTGGCTGCCCAGTGACACAGATGCACTGCAGCCCGAGAGTGAGATAGGAATGATGCATGGATTCTCCTGTTTGCTATAATATAAAGTAAAGAATGCTATATTATCACTGCCGCTGGTCAACTACACAATTAATGGGAGGCCAAAATAGCCCTCAGGCCACCGGGAAATCACCCGGTTCTCCCGATGGCCAGTCTGCTAATGTGCACTGTGCTAATAATAATAAAGGCTCACACTTGTCTTTCCCAGAGCAGCATGTTTTCTCTCTGTAACTGTTACCTGTTGAACAAACACCTGCACATGAAGAATAACTTGCATTCTGTAGTTATACTGTGTAGCCTACTGCTCAGAGGCCCTGGATCACAATGTGTTTATATTCCAGTATGAAACTGCAGTGATGTCATGATGTACCAGATCAGTGCGATCAGCTGCAACGTCCAATCAACAACTGATAACCAATAAGGGGCCATGTCGGACAGTAAAAGATTTCCATGAAGGCTGCTCTCATGTATCCTCGCTCATGGCTCAGAGATCACTCCTCCATCCTTGATGCACAAATAAGAGCTATGGCACAGCCTGCAAGATGGCAGACCAGAACAATTTCATGTTTAAGCAAGAATTGAGGAGTGAGAAAATGACAAATAAGAGAATTGAGATGCAGCTAGTGTCTGTGGGTTGAAAGGCATCTTGGTGATATGCTTGTTCAACAGAGACTTTTGTGATGTTAACAGTTAAAAAGGGGGTGTCTCATAATGTGTTGTCTCATAAACATTATCAGGATAGATAAAACAACTGGTGTGTGCTGTAACACCTACAAGCGGGGTAAAACTGGCCTCTTTTTGTGTGTGGCCATAATGAATGAGAGGTTGTGTTTGTACAATATTTAAATGCTATGAAAGTTCAGCCCACTAAGCTATACATAAGAGTTAACTCTGTGCTTACAGGTGGCAAACCTCCTGACAACAAATCAGAATTTTCCCAAATAATACTGACAATATAAGTTCAGAAACGACGTGTCCAATTACATATGTGCTAAATGTTTTTATTAAATTTTCTTGTTTCATAAGTCTACCTCTAAAAACATTTACAAATACAACAAATATTGTCCATGTTTACCCTGTCTAATATTATAAAATTTTGGGAAATACACTTTTTCTACGGTTTCTTGAGGACAGTAGGATTAGAAGATCAACACCACGCAGATGTTTCAGTACAGTAATTATAAAGCTACAGACAGGAGCCTGTAAACTTAGCCAAGCATAAATACTGTAAATAAGGAAAAACAGGCAGCTGGGCTCTGGGCAAATCTAACAGAATCTGCCACAATGTTGAGATACAAGGTTTTTTATTATTAACTCTCGACAAGAAAGTTAACAAGCCTATTTCCCAAAATGTCAAACTTATTCTTTAAACGTTTTTCTTTAAACATCTACGAGCTTGATTTGACATTTGTGACGTTGGAAACAGCAGTTGACAAAAGCTACTACTTATGGTCTACTAACTCTCTTGTTCTGGACCTTAAGACTGTATTACACAGTCCTCGATAATTCAAAGGAGCTTTCCTGGCATGATGAACAGAGGTTTACATTGCCAAAGCAATTGTAAAATAAAAACTACCAAACAAAAAACATAAATAAATGTATTATTAAAATTATAAGAAAATGTAACATAAACGTGGATAAGATTACTTCAATTAAATTCAAAGGGCTTTATTGGCATGAGAGTTTCAAGAACAATGTTGCCAAAGAATCAAAATATAAATTGTCCAAATGTCTGGACAGCACACAATAACAATAATATGAACATTAACACAACATTATGTACTATTTATGTCATAGAAGTGCTCAGAATCATAGAAAGTAATTTTCAGTTCCCTGGCAACTGGACTTACATCCCTGGTGACTTCATGTGACCAGGGTATTAACGAAAGCATTGTTCAGATTTCACTGGAAATACCCCATGACGGTTTGCTGCCTGTAGTCACTGTGACAGAACAACAGCATATTATTGTATGTAATTCAGCATGTTATGATAATCAGTTCATGTCACGATACACGCATCTGCTTCACAGAGAACTGTTCCTTCACTCAGGGATTATTTGTTCATATATTAACCTGCAATCTGCTGTAGCACCTGTAGCAGTTCTCTTTTCAAAGGTTCCTATTGAATGAGCTTTGCTGAGTGGCAAATACTGTTTTTTTGGATGTTGCTTTGTCTTGTGTATTTTTGTTGTTGTTGCACCTTCCGCTCTGTAACTACTGTTGGGAGTGTTTGATTGTTTCTAAAGTTTGTGAATGTAACATTAGAGCTATGAACCTTGCGCACATTTGTGGACACAATTCAAGGTGCATGTTTGAGAATAAATACTGACTGAATACAATCAAGTGGTGGACAATGAATACAGCACTGTAGTGTCACTCAATCAGAAAAAAAGGTAGCCGTGGCTATGTATAATAAGGACACAGTGATTCTCATCCTGAATTCTAGTCAGGCACAGCTGTAACGGTGGGCCTTGAATGCAGTCACCTTTAGAATAAGTGAGGGTGTTTCTTGAATTCTGACATTAAGTCTATATTTTCTTAATCTCAATTCCAAGACAGGCAGAGCTTGGGGGGGGGAAGTGTGATATTGTAAAATGTGCATAATTTCACATGCTAAAATGTCCATATTATTAGTATGCAATATGAACCCTTCAGATGCAGTTTAAGTGTGACATCCTCTGTAGAATAAAATTAAGTAAATTAATGTTGTCATGTGTGAAGAAGGGGGTATGGACAACCTCCACATGCCACATCAACCTCTGGAAACTCATGAAAAGGATATTGTCAGTTATTTTGTGTTTCAGTGAAACAAACGACATGTTCAGGTTGAACGCCACGGCCATAGCCTACCCTGTGAGCTTACCTGAAGAGACAGGGTGGTGTGGGGTCACCCGGCCGTCACAGGAAGGTGGTGCAGACCTGTATGCGGACTAAGTGGTATCTTTCCTCCCTGATTCCCAGCCTCAATCCTTAATACAGGAGCTTACTTGGTTTCGACAGGAGTCATGGAGTTTTTAATTATGTTACACTACATGTATTCCATCTTATAATATATCCATGACGGGGCTTTGCAGCAGGCTAAGAAGTCCCACCCACTCGTTCAACAGTTATATAATTAGCAACAAGACGCTAGCGGCTTTGTGAGACTGTATGCACAACAGGACTTAGAGATACTCAACAGGCAGCTTACTAACATGCTCATAATAACAATAAGGGCGTGTTTAACAGGTATAATTCAACATATTAGTTTAGTGCGTTAACATTTACTAATTAGCACTGAACATAAAGTAGGTCATAACCCAAAGTGTTTAAATATATATAATAAACTGTTGATGGCACTCAATTTCAGCTATCATTTTGTGGTATTTACATCTAGATGTGTTAAACAACTTAGGACATATCACCGTTTGCATTAGACCACAGCATTCTTAGGTGAGCAAAAGTAATGGAACAAATGATTTTAATGTAAATAACATAACAATATTTGGTGGCGTAACCCTTGCTTGCAATAACTGCCTCAAGCCTGCGACCCACCGACATCACCAAACTGTTGCATTCTTCATTTGTGATGCTATTCCAGGCTATAGTAAACTACCACCGGTTTACTATATTTATAGTAGTGAAAATGAGCAGGACAGATTCTGTGAAAGTAACTTAACGGTGTCAAAATAAATCATCATACCTAACTCGAAGTTAGGTATGAGATATTATTATTAAAGGTTGACCTCATGTCAAAAGGTTGAATTCACCCACTTATTTCCATAAGCTACCGAACATCATAGAAAAAGTTGCTGTAGTTCACATAATCTTTACAAGCAAGCCACATTGCCAATATTCACATACTTTATTTAGACTAAAGAGTGTTTGATCTGAATCAGTATCACAAGTAGAAAAAAAACTACAGTTTCATAAATTGTGATGTTGGTTAAATTAAACATGACGCAAAGAAGCAAGAGAAGACATCAGAAGGCCACTTTCAAGATACTACCCATGATAAAAGGCAGTGGTAGTTGTTGAATTTCTGCCTATCTGTCTCCACAGCACTAATAACGGCAATAATCAAACCCCGCTAGGAAATTGAAAAATACACACAAATTTCACAATAAAAGCATTACATTTTAAGTAGGTTTATAGCACTGTGCTGTAATGTTTTATATTGGGTGGCAAAAAAATGCTCATCTCAAGCCAATGTCACACAGCACTGTATTACGTTTGTTTAGCATATCCTAACATAGTGTTTATCAAGTGTGGGAACAAGTTGTAATTTAGTCTAATTTAATAAATTTCAGTCATAAATATTGAGGTACTGCCTATTAGCTCTCCTGTGTTCATTCTCATTGCCGGTGCTGCTACAACTCCTGAATTTCCCTCCTGTGATCAATAAGTATATCTTATCCTATCTTAGTATACTCTGAAGTATTGATCAAGAGTCAGGGTTCCCACTGATATTCTGGAATTCCTAGGATATTAAACATTGAACCTGTAACCACTGCAATTCACACAGTCATGATTTAATTACTTCAAAGGGTGAAATAATTAATAAAATCACCATTTATCCAACTGAAGAAGTCACGTGTGAAAGGATTTTTTTGAGTGATGAACAAAAGGAAAAACTATGCAATTTTCTTTAATCATTTTGACTGTTGTACATGCTCTGTCCTCATGGTGGGGAATTACATGTTTGTTTGTTTTTCACAATCTTATGCTATAAATGAAACATACAGAAGTGTGAGCCCTCACTTGTGACTTTTGTCGTTGATACAACACAAATAGACAGTTCTTAAAGTTGTCGTTCCCCCACCCACCAAAGCCTTCACATGGCCTGACGGATGTTTTCCAGGCTCTTCTCAATGTTGTCAATAACCTCCACTGCAGCTTGTGGGATCCTGGTTCCTGGGCCGAAGATGGCACACACACCGCTCTGGTACAAGAACTCGTAGTCCTGCATACACACAGTGGTGGAAGTTTAGAAGAACTGCAGCTAATGAGGAAATTTAGCTCCATTCATGTAGAGCACTGTGTACGTAAAATGACCATGACAAATGTAACATAAAATGAAATATTAAATGTTTTTTGCATTTGCAAGTCAAACAGTTTCATTGCATTTTCAAACTGACCTACAAATACACATGCAATCTCATATATTTTGAATAGCCAAGTTGCATTACTGAAAATACACTCATGGATACCCAACTAGTAACGAAATAATTACACTGTGAAAAAAGCACTGGCATTATCAACATGAACACCAGCTCAATGTGTGGAATGTTATAATTCAAACTGACACAACACACACAGCTTTTCCAAGGCTCATGAGAAGACATACTCCTCCAGGTCTGCTTTATTTATTGAAAATGCGATGCTTTTATTGACTAATAAGCCTAGCTTAAAACAGCTTGTCAAATAAAATTCTAAGTGCTATAACTGTTCCCACACTGTGAAAGTCAAGTGGGAAGGAGCTATACGTATGTTCAATTACACCAAATGCAAAGCTTGTGCTATTGCTGTGGACTGTGGCATTAAGAGAGCTTGAAGACAGAGCAAAATGAAAGAGATAGGTAAAGACAAACCAAGCAAGATAGATGTCTACTAAATTTTTAAAGTCAAAGGTTACCTGTGGTGGGATGACACCTCCACAGATGACCAGGATATCTGGCCTGTTAAGTTTCCGTAGTTCCTTGATGAGTTCTGGGACCAGAGTCTTGTGTCCTGCGGCAAGCGTGCTGACCCCGACACAGTGTACGTCTGCATCGACCGCCTGCTGGGCAACCTCAAGGGGAGTCTGTTCAGCAAAAAGTTAGACATGGAAAACACAAAAACTGTTTCTGTGTAAAAAAAGAAAAAACTGTTCCCAAAGCTCTTGTTTGACACCAGTTACAGGGTACAGGGTCAGGGAGTGCGGCTCTGTGCTAGGCTAGCTCAGTAGCACCCCCACTAGGCTTGCTCACACTACCAAGTGTTATATGGAGAGCCGAGCCTGCCTTCCAGCAGCTGGGGCATACAAAGTTTTTGTCCGTTCAGGTGAGCCTACATTAAAAAGTTGGGTATGACACCAACAAATGGGGTTACATTTGGGTGGTTGAAATTATTCACCTGGAGATTGGAAGCAATCAAACTGCAAGATTAACAATGTCTTTGTTCCACCTCCAAATGTAAGATTTATCATATTAATTCAAAACTCCCATTACAAATCCCAAAAAATTTCAATATATAGATTGGGGAAAGGTCACGATTATAAGAGAAATGGTTGTGACTTTGAGCTGGATATAAGTGGAAATGGTTTAGAAGATTATTCCTGTACTTATTAAGCACCTGCAGCAGCCTCTTTTAAAACCATGTATAGGCATACGTATTTGCACTTCCCAGTGCACCTAGCTTCAATAAAGTAGCAATTCAGAGCCTTTTTAACATCTGAGGCTTTGCAAATACATACATTGCTAAATACAAAGAGGGTGTTTGGTAGAACACTGAAGAAGAAGTGCTAACTGTTACTACTATAAGACTTAAAATATCACTGAATCTCTAAGTATCTTTACACAATGTGGGTTTTTACCATCAACATGCACGTTATATGGTATTTTTACTAGCAGCTTATGTGAATACCTTCTTTAAAAATGTAGCCTCTGAGTAGAGTCACTACCTTTGACATGAACCCTTGCATGTCTTCCATGTTCTCTTTAAAATGCTTGAAGTGGTCAGGCAGCAGTGTATCTCCATTCTATTTCATGACACTGACCTGAAACAGCGGCCCGATGTCCACATCAAAGCCCAGGTCAGCAAACCCCGTGGCGATGACTTTGGCACCCCTGTCGTGACCATCCTGGCCCATCTTTGCCACCAGCAGTCGGGGGTTCCTGCCCTCGTGCTTCTTAAAATCTGTAACTCTGAGGTTTGAAAAGAAATTGGTTTTAACCAGTAAGCAATCAGTCAGAGTATGTGAATGTTAAGATGCGGACTAGGTACCTATTAAGGCACAAGGCAATCTCCTCATGCTCCCCGTACTCGCTGCGGTAAGCACCGCTCACCATTCTGGTACCGGCCTTGTGTTCACCGAACACTTTCTTCATGGCATCAGTTATTTCACCAACTGAACATCTAAAAAAAAAAAGCAGACAGCATCTTCCTCCGTATGTTGATAGATTGATGAATTGTTTAGTGCTTTAGTGACTGTGGGAGTCCTGACCTTGCTCTTGCTGCCTCCACAGCCAGGGCTAAAAGGTTGCCCTCCCTGGTTCGGGCACACTCCTCAATGGCTGCCAGACACTTCTTGGCTGCCTCGGGGTCACGACTCTCCCTCACCTAAAGAGACAGGAGGCAACATTCCATTTTGAGCTTTAATCTGCCCTGCTGACAACATTTATACAACGCAGAGAATTCACTATATACATATGTGTATCAATCAGAATCTGAATCAGAATCACAAATGCAAGTTATATTAGAATAATAAAATAATAGAAAAAAATAACAACTATTTACAATGTGGCAGATATTTATATGTGCATTACTCTGGTTTGTGTTGTACAGACGTATTGCAATGGAGGAGGACTGTACATAAATATATAAGTTTGTGTACATATACATAAGTTGACAAAATATAAAAATATAGAACAAAAACGATTAACAATTAACAACAAATTTGTGCAATATGCCAGGTTTGTGCATGATATGAAATGAGACGTGCCAGCTGGTCAATATTTTATGTCAGTTTAACTATTCTTCAACACAGAATGAAACCCTTCAGACAGCTTACAGACCTTTCTTACAGCAGAGAGTTAGCAGGAGAGGCACAGGTGTTAACTGATAACATTAATGATATATCAATGTTCTGTTTAAGTGTTCCAGTCTGCACTGAGCCAGCATGCACAATAACACAGTGCCCTTTAAGTGAATGCGAGCGTCCTGCAAAAACCTCATCACAAAATATATTAAAAGAGAAAACTTAAATTGGAGTAAAAATCGTAAAAGATCTTGAGCTGGGTGAAAATGGATAGCCGTAATATACTACAGTACAAACACATCCACTGTGTCGCTCACCTTTACAAAACAGAAATGACAACAGCTTGTCATCTGCATTTGTATGAAGTTCACAGTTCCTTTCCACGCTTCAAGCATAGCCCTAGGGTAGCAAGCATTCAATACCAGCTAAGTAGTATGGGCTTTTAATTAGTCTCAAAACCCGCATACATAAAAAACAAGTGCGTGAACAAACAACATCCGCAAGGGGAAGAGCATCCTCGCGAGGGAACACTTCTGTTTGCAGGACGGCATTACAATTATACTGTATACATTTATATGCAGAGAAAAAGAAAGAGCTGGAGAATGCAAAGTTGAATGCTTGAAACGTGTCTGATGTGCTGAACAAACCAGCTTGTAAAATTCATTTTAGAAGTGGAACCAAACTGTTAAATGCGAACAGCTTCTTCATGTAAATTAATCCCACAAGCTGCTCATCAAATTAAGATGCGACAATCCAACTAGCAGTACTTACCTGCACTCCCTTCGAAACATTAATGTAAGTCGTGAAGTATATAATATGGTAAGTTAAAGTCGTGTTCTTCAATATAAATGATTTTATGGTTTTAATTGCATAGTTAAGCACAAAAGGTAGTGTATTGTACACTTTTGATTTAAAAGTACTGCTAGATACACAAAAGTGCAATAACATGTGGTTTGCAAACACTCAAAACAAATAAGGTGCTTTTTACCAGCAGTATTCCCTTTACACAGTAGCAATAAAATATTTCCTGTAAATCTCAAATTAAACATCAATGGAATCAAATCAAATATAAAACAAAAGCTATTTACCACTGCCAGGACATTACCTTTTATCCAGAGCCACGATTTTAACATAATAACAGGCACCTTCTGAGCAACAGGTTAACATATGTAAATCTGTTTTCTTGTTTTTTTTCTGAACAGGTATCAGCAGAAACATTGTTCTTTTATCAAGGAGCAACATAAACAGTCTATGTTCAGTAGTGTCCCTGTTAGAGTGAGGTGAAGTGGTCGCCTCACGTCCGCCGCCGAAGTTGAATTGTCATGAAGTTTTGGTACGCAATGCGGTGCACAAATCATTGGAAGAGAGACTGATCCTCGCTGTTTGTGAGTTTCCATAATAGATTACTGCTTATTAAATAGTCATCCGGACATCAACAGGAGGGAATTTGCATGGCAGAGCATCCCCGCAAAACTAGATGAAGGCCTATCAGGTAAAGTTATGTAGCCTTAGGCCAGGACCATAAAACAATAATAATCGCAATATTTTTTTTCAATAACAATATAACAAATGTTCAATAAATATTCAATAGATGTTTGATTTTGTTCACTTGTATCATAAACAAATTAGGACTTTTTTTATTAAGATGTTTTTGTTGAGGGAAAAAGGACTGAATATTAGCATGAATATTTGTTCACAGATTTTATCAGAATTGTTTTTAATGTTCTACCTCAGATTTGTGAAGTGATCCACTGTTTGGCCTCAAGTGATGACCATAAAGAAGAGTTTAAACCACAATTAACCATCAGGTTTCTTCATCTTTTAAACTTGCAAATAACGACTTGATACTTATCGTGATAATTATCGATATCGAAAGATATGAAACTTTTTATTGTGTTAACATTTTTGGCCATATTGCCCAGCCCTATGTAGCCTATAATTTTAACTTAAGTTAAATAGGCTAACAGCTATGTAACGCACAGAAGCCATTGCCATGGTTAGTATCCATAGAGCGCCTGCAATTTACTCACGGAGCGCTGTATCTGATCCCCAGAGCAAAGAGCAACCCCGCGGGGCCAAGTGACTACGTTGTGATTTTAAGAACGCTCCTAAGACGGACATCTTCCCCAACACTAATCAGCATGCAGTGTGCAGCTTTCCACTTCGCTATGGCATTTGTTCGCTTGTCTTGCTTTTGTTTATCTACTTCTCCCACACGCTGCATCCAGCGTAGTCTGCCGAAGCCTCCCTCCGCTGCTTGCTTGGGTGGGTGATTTGCAGGCTGATCAACATCCCACCCCTCCTGTGACCCATGGTTTGACTGTATGTGTATTCAGAGCCAGTGAGCAACCGACTTTCAAAATAATAATAATAATGAAAACTGTGTTAACGCGTGCTAAAATAATTTGCGTTAACTTGATAATAACGCGCTAACGTGCCCAGCAACCAGAAATTGTATTTGTAGTATTCCTTAAACATTTAAATAAACAATAAAACATCAAGAAGGAAAAACAGCAGCAGCATCTTTAAAATAAATAAATAAATAAATAAAGGAACACTGACCTTTTTCAGTTTTTCAATCTGTTTTTCACGTACAACAGTGTTATCTATAGCCAGCACCTCCACAGTCTCCTCTTTTTCCAGACGGTACTTGTTCACCCCGACAATGACTTCTGATCCTGAAAAAAAAGAAAAGAAAGAATACATCAGTAGGAAAATCAGCAGAATACAACACAGTGGTAAATGTCTTAAGAGGTACAAGAAACTATATAAACACCAATTTCTAAACAACCCAATATTCAAGGAGTAGGGACACACAATAAGGAACACGCTGAAGTCTCTCTTTTCTTACAAAGTCAATTAGTGGCACAGCACAAAATCAATAAGTATACTAAAAGAACCCCACTTCAGAAGATTACAGGCCAGAACAGTAATCTGGATCTGACGTCTAACCAAGGAGTACAAGACAGCAGAAAGCATGAAAAGCAAACAAAACAGACCACAAAAACCATCAGGTTCTTTTATCTGAAACCACACTATGTAGCTTTTATTATGACAATGTGCAGCATTTCATGGCAAGCTTACAAAACACTGACATGATAAATGCAATGTATGTATGAAACTGTCTTTAAATGATTAAATAATGAATGGATTCAGTTATTGTTAATACTTCATTGTTAATAGCACAGAACATACAAAAAGATCCATCCCACCCTGGACCCTCTCTGTTAGAACTACTGCCCTCGGGTAGACGTTTCAGGACAATCAAAACAAAAACAAATAGTGTGAAAAACCGTACCCAAAAGCCATAACAGCACTAAACACTGCTTGAAAAAATGCACTATTAAGGAATGTATAGTGAAGTGAAATGTCGTGTGTGTATGGTGTGTTTTTATTTTCCTTTAAGAATATCTGTTTTATTTAGGTTTATATATATGTATGTATGAATGTATATATATAGATCTTTTTATAGTAACTTATATTTATTTAACTATTTGCATTTTTTGTTTCACTGATCGGATTGCATCTGATTTAGTTCTACATGTACAATGACAATAAAGATTCTATTCTTCTTTTTAAAATCTAATAACTGTGGGTGCTGAAAATACACAGAAGGCTGCATAATTCTCTGTATTCTCCAGAAATCCCAAAATATACAATCTCTCATTTTGACCCCAAGAAAATAATCTGCGAGTTAAAAAAAAATATTGATGTCAAAGATGAAAGCCAATGAATTTTAATGAGAACAGGAATTGTGGGTCAAGGGGGTGGGGGGGTCATAGAGAATAGCTACACAGTGTTCGAAGGTTCTGCTCTTCTCGCAGTCTGCAATTATGGATATGGATAAAAGGAAATCCCAACGAGACACAAAGGAGCCTCATTTAAGCTCCATGACACACCTCCCCAAGGGTATTCGCAACTCCTAGCTCCTCTACACATCAAAATGCACACAGTCAACTTGAATCAAACTGTGTGAGCTGCTTTCCTGTCCACTTACGTTAGCCTTGCCATGCCAGCATTTACATTTGCAAGTATCATTGTGGTGTAGCAAGGCTCAACAGGCACATGTTTGGGTTAATGACACTTTCAAGAGGCAAAAATAAAATCTGAGACAAACATAGGGAGTGATGCACTGGGCCAGTAAAAATGCAGGTGCTTCTTCAAGGCCGGGGCCAAAAAACAATGACTGTCTAGCTTACTGTTAATGGAAGCCCATGGTATTGGTTGGTAGTCTCACAAAGAATACTGTATTGCTAAACTATATATTGTGCTAATCAATTTATTGTGATATTACACTATACTGTTTTGAACCATTTGGTTCCATATGACTGCACTTTTCTTCAGTCTATGTATACTATCATTACATCTTCCTCTTAATACTGAGTATTAATGTTAACCTAATTATGAGCTTTGACCACTTGTTTTTACTATTGAGGGAGATTCCTTAAGAGCACATAGTAGGACATGAATAGTGCCGTCTACCTACACCTGTTTATATGACCAACAGATTCTCCTTAACCTTTACTCTGTTAATGTGACTGAATATTGATTTTAATCTGTTCTGCCATTATATGTATATGTGAGGCTGTTTGCAACTTTTTTTGTTGCTCTAACTCAGGGGTCTTTAACTTTTCTGGCAGTCTGACCCCTTTTTGAGGCTGAAAATATTTCGCGACCCCTCCTCCAGACAGAATGCATTTTTTGGAAGTGAGAGGCGCCTTTTTTTAAATTGTATTCTTTTGGCAGTGAGTGTTTTGCGTGCTGATTATGTGCCCTGGGTGCCTCATGTTTTGGCCACCTGCTGCTCCTTGCGTTTTCAAAAGAGCGCTCTGAGCACACGGACAACTCTGGCAGAAAAGACCTTATTTGCGTTTTTTACCATTGTCCAATCTAATGAATGGAGAGACGGGTCTTCAGTTGTGCTGATGGAAGTTTACAGTTGCTTGGATTGTCCGGAGACTGTAACAAACTGTCCCCGACTCATCCTAAAATAAGCCTTAAACCGATCATCATTAAGACAAAGCCCCTGGACCAACTGGTAGGCTACTACCAGCGGTGTCTCCTCTTTCTGAGGGTCTCATTTACCCACACGGATCTCCCTTTGAGGCCACACCTCTCACACTCAAACAATGCCAGAGCAGGCGCCCTCCGTTTGTCTATTTTTTTAAAGCAGATGTTTTTAACAACAAAAGACACAGACATGTGAGTTGTGATCAAGTTTCTGCTAATATGACAGTTATTACTTAGCAGCAAACCAAAAATTACCGATCGCTTAAGCTGACAGGACAGCTGATTCGGTGTTTGCCTCTTTTCCAAATTCAACCAAAAAAAGGCATTGCTGTGCACCTCTGATTTTGGAACCCTTGTTAAAGTATGTTAAGATGTAGAAAGCATTAAGTACTCAAGGCAGAGGAAGAAGATCATAAAGATCAAAGAATGAGAAAGCTTTAAAGCTGATGATGCATTTATACAGTACCCGAGTCGATGCGGGCTTGTCTGCGAGCAGCACATTCCTCTATCCGAAGTTTTGGAATGCCCTCTGCCACAGCTTTGGCCATGCCTCCCATCTCTTCAATCTCTTTTATGAACTACACAAAGGAAAACACAGGTTGTAAAAGACTGACTCTATGATGACGTGTTAAATGATATTTACCTCATAAAAACATGTCACGCACAAGACAGAATTATAAATAGGTTCAAATTAACAACGATATTATAAAAGTAACCACTTATGCTCCAAGTATTTTCTGTGGTATCTATAATGTTACAATGTCAGATGTTCATGTGAGACGATGCAAAAGCTTCAAATGATGAGGTAATTTAAAAGAAATCCCTGTGAGCCAAAACTTCAGATTCCCCACTGTTCTGAACGCTCCAGTTTCAACAGTTTTATTCTGCTATATGGTAATTTGTGTGCAGCCCCATCCTCCTGGCAACCGCTACGCTCAGTTGGTCTATACCGCTCAGTGCAGGACGACACGCCAGTCTTTTGAAGCTGAAGTAGTTCAATATGTCTATAGGGGTGGTGATGGACCAGTGGATAAGACGCATGCCTGTGGTGCAACCCCTGACATAACTAGCAAAAAAGTCGCTTTGGATAAAAGCCTCTGCTAAATGATTAAATGTAAATGTAATGTCACCATATGTTTGGCTTCATGCTTCAGGGCCTCGGCCAGTCAGAAGACAATGGGCTTTTTGGGGGGGGGTACTTAAAGACACAGGTGTGCTTGGGTTTTTCAGCAAATAATTAGATTGACTAAGAAATAAACTATTAACTAAAAACAAATCTGATTACTTTGAAGGAAGACAAAGCTGATGCCCATTTGTCCCTGTGACAAACCTTCAAAGCTGTGTTGTAGACGTCATCCGTGAGAGCCTCCATCATGTGCGAGCCCCCCCAGGGATCAGCGACTTTGGGGATGCCGGACTCTTCCTGGATAATGATCTGGGTGTTTCTTGCAATGCGAGCGCTCTTCACTGTGGGCAAGCCCAGAGCTTCATCGAACGAGTTGGTGTGGAGGGACTGTGTGCCCCCGAACACAGCTGCCATAGCCTCGATCACCGTACGGATCACATTGTTGTACGGATCCTAAGAAGAGGGTTCACAGTTTTGACAGTTACTCAACTCTCTGAATTTAACCCTTTAAAATGTTAAATTTAGATGTTTTACATCTATAGATTCACAGGACTTCCGAACTACAATTAATATTTACTTGTTCAGTGAGAGACCAGCCTGAGGTCTGGCAATGTGTGCGGAGCAGGAGGGACTTGGCATTCTTGGGCTGGAAGTTTTCTTTAATGAGCATGGCCCATAACCTCCTGGCTGCCCTCATCTTGGCAATTTCCATGTAGAAATTCATCCCAATACCCCAGAAGAATGACAACCTGACACAAAAAATTTCATTTATCAGTTATTAAAATTGACTGAAAAATTACAGCAATTCTGAAAACTATTTGTGCAGGTACAACACAATTAGAGTGTCCACAACACGATCTAAAAAAGCACTTATTAAGCTTTATGTCTGATCATTCTTTAAATCACTGCCAGTATCCTCATGACCAGATTTCACCCAGTGATGGCTATTACTACAAATACGTTGCAGAGTATTGAAGCAAGAGACAAACCTCATCCTACTGTAGCTTACGGTCTAGTGCTAGAGTTTCAAATAAACCGCCTCACAAAAAGTCATGTCACAAGCAGGACATGGTTTTGATGCTACCCTGGTTAGCTTTAGGCTGAAACATTGTTTGTGGCACAGCAACCTCTCTACCCTTTTTTTACAGTACAGAATGCCAAAATATGTTAGACACAGATAGTCCACCAGAAAGCACTGACATTTATTTTTAAACTGAAAAATATCCTGCACATTGAATATTGTGGTCACTGTTCTTTAAAAAAAAAAAAAAATACTATTTCAAGGTTTGAGGTACATTTATTTGTCATTCTGCAGCAGGGGGCAGCACACAGAAATTAAAGTTTAAGCAATCCTTAAAAATGTTGATGTTGTTATGCATTTATGAAAAAACGCTTACTGTAAAACATCAGCCACAAACATCCAATATCAGTTAAGCTATAAAGGCAAATGGACATCAATCAGTTGTGTCAAGAGAGTAAACTAAAGATAGATATTATGCTGCTGCTGCACAGCAGACATTAATTACAGTGAATTTCCACACCTGAGTATTGATTCAGCTGTCTGTAAAGACTGTCTCTGAAGTCATTATGTGGAGAAGGTCAAGCTAGACCCCCTAGATGTCCCTGAGCGGCTCTCCTATTGTTGATGTAATTGGGGCAGTGGGAAAAAAAAAAGCTGAAGGACACATGAAGAGATGATGGAAGCACAATGCAAGGAACAAGAATAGGACAGAGGGCAGGGTTGATGAAGTGGCATTGTACAATTGACTGAAAATACCTACTTCTTTCTCCAGTAACTATGCATTAGAGACCATAATTTAGTTTATAGCAAACAGGGAAAATGTAATTCTATTAAGCAACAGATGGACTGAGCCAAAGGCCAAAGACAATATACTGGGTAAGAGTACAATTCACTACTTCGTTTATTCAAACAAGTAGTAAATAAAAGTGTAGTGCCTTTACCCAGCTTCATTTTATTTAGACTTTACACTTTGCATTGTGCTCAATCCTATGTATTTGTATAAATTACATGGTTTGCTAATTCAGTCTGAGAGTCCCGTCTGCTGGTTCAACAAATAAAGGGGAAGGTATTTGTTTGCCAGTTAAATGTGGTGATCCCACTGAGTTAATAAGCATTAGTCAAACAGGCACAGCTTAGGCCTGTACGATATGCAAAAAAAAAATAAAATAAATGCTATTATTTTGACAGATATTTAAATTGCAATGAGTCATAATTGTAGGGGAAATGATTATTTAAATGATGATGTGATTTGTCTCTGTCTGGAGGATAACCATATCTCACATTAACACAATGCCACTGTACTTAAGAGGGCAAATCTGACAGGATTTAAGTTCAGCTTTGGGAGGCGCTGCATGTTGTAGGGACAGTATGGCATGTGTGATAAATATAACCGTTATTGTGACGGTGTTGTTGAGCATGATGCGGTAGATAGAGCTAAGATTTAAGTGTGAACTAAATTAGTTTTATCAAACACCAGCAGCTTCAGACTCTCATTACTGTAATCTGTACATTATCTGGATGGGCCTCACTAAGAGTACAAAGGAAGATTTACACAATATGAAGCTTTTTTAATCTGCAAAGTCATTCTGAGATTCACATATTTTGATTAGCCTTTCGTAATATGTACATTATCAGTGTGTTCATATTATGCATACTCAATGTATTCCATGGCTTGTTTTATTTTAATTTTTGGCCTCTTTTAACCTGATTTTGTAAAGAGTCCGTGGGTGACTTGAGAGGCGCTGACAAAAAAAAAAAGAATTATTATTATTATAATTATTAATAATATGTTGCTTGAATAAATGATTCTTAATTTATATTTCTCTTGATAGAGAGTCTGAAACATTGCGAAGAAGGCATGAGCATTACTACCTTCATGAATATTTGCAGTAATATTGCAGCTATTTGTTGTGTGTTTATTGGGGACTTTTCTAATGAAATAACATTATCTGCCCATAGCTGTGAGCAATAGATTTGTAAACCAAAATCCCAGCACTTGAGTGTAAGATCTTATATTAATATTTTGTACCTCGGGGCAAACTCATCGATGGTTAAGCCTGCTGTCAGACCAGTGCGGCAGTACTCCAAGCCGTTAGCGATGGTGTAGGCTACTTCCAGGATGGCATCCGCTCCAGCTTCCTGAAGATGGTAGCCACTGATGGATATGGAGTTGAACTTGGGCATGTGCTGGCAACATGGAGAGCCAATTAAACCAGAGACACTCCCAATAAGACGAGTATTACATTAACAGCATGTAAGCACCATTGAAGCAGATTAAGGGACGGTTACGTGGTACGTACCTGGGAGGTATAAGCGAAGATGTCTGCAATGGCGTGCATGGAAGGTTCCGGGGGGAAAATGTAAGTGTTGCGCACCATAAACTCCTTCAAAATATCATTTTGAATAGTGCCAGTTAGTTTGGCTTTGGGCACGCCCTGCTCCTCTCCAGTCACAATAAACATCGCCAGCACAGGAATGACAGCTCCATTCATTGTCATTGAAACAGACATCTTCTCCAGTGGAATTCCATCAAAGAGCATCTTCATGTCTTCAACGGAGTCTATAGCAACTCCCGCCATGCCGACATCTCCATGGACTCGGGGGTTGTCTGAGTCATAACCACGGTGTGTCGGGAGGTCAAAAGCCACGGAAAGACCCTGCTGTCCAGCTGAAATGGAAGAGGGAAACAGAGCCTATGAGAAAATGAAGGTTTCAGTCTGATTATCAGGAGAATAAACAAAGGGCATTTACATTAAGATGAAATGGCTGTAGATTTGAATAACAAGTATTTTTGGTTTGCCCTTGCAAGCCTTGTTGACTGGGTTCTAGGGAGATGAAACAGACAAAAAAGAGTGACTTTATATGACAGGTTCAGATGTGTTAAAGGAACATGATGTCAAAAATCATGTGTTGAGTGAAAAAAAAAATTGTAGGATATGAAAAGGTTGGCGCACAATAGATGATTCCCCCATGGCCATGAATTCTTCCAAAGTTCACAGGTTTACACTTTGAATCCAGAGTGTTTTAGCTAAAATTGAAACATACATAACAAAAAAAGCTACCTTTTATGTTATCTTTATAGAACTTGTTACTCTCCTCCACAGTGCTGAAGCCAGCATACTGCCTGATAGTCCAAGGTCTGTAGGTGTACATGGTGGGATAGGGCCCTCTAGTGTAGGGAAACACTCCTGGCAATTCATCTGCCCTGCCGGCTGAGTCTGCTTTGGTGTACACAGGCTTCACGTTGATTCCCTCAGGCGTGCGCCAGATCAGATCCTCTGGGTTCTTCCCCTTCAGCTGTTTCTTAGCCAAACTGACCCATTCAGGAAGCAGCTCAGCCTGGTCCTGGCATGTTGTGGAGGTGTGGATCAGAGAGCAGCGTGTGTGTGCAGAGGAGACAGAAGCTCTAACCAGGTGCCGGACGGCCATCGCTGCACATGACCTCTGTGCGGTCAGCATGCTTACTGTTGACTCAGTCAGACGCACATGGACCACCTGAGGAAAGCCAATGTGAATGTGGATTTCAAAGTGAAAGACTTGTGAGTAAGTGTTGCCAGCACACATGGACTGAACACTAATGCATCTCAATTCATCCACCAAGCTGAGCATCTGCCAGTGAAACATTTTTGTGTTGGTTTCCTGCTTGATCACACCCTCTACGGTCTACTTTGATTACATGAATGATTAACATGAGGACAAGCAGCAACCTTACATACTCTGTGTGCACTGACACACTAAGTTAGTATAATGTCATGCTGTGCAGCGGAAAAAAAACCCTTTGCCATAACGTAAAGCTGACACCTCTCAGTTATGTTAACAATAATTAGTTCAGATTTGGGCATGTTCAACCGTACGTAGCCAGCAGCTAGCATGTGATATTTACATTTGACAGATGACACTGTTGTAACATTTGACAGTGAAAATTATAACGTTAGCTAGTTTAGCATTGTGGTGTGTCGACTAGCCGAACCAGGCAGCTAATCTTTTTCTAAAACTCAATAAACTACAAGATGATTATTAAATCCCCATGTACGACTATGGAAGCGTTTTCAATGTATAACGTTAGTTAAGAAACTGCAAACCGTGCAAGTCCATGTTGACACAACGTTAAAGCTAATACAGCTGCTGCGCTAACTTAACGTTAACTAACCGTAGCTTGAACTATTAGCATTCGTTTAAGGAACCTAAGGGATGTCCGCTGACATGAGACCTTTTGCAGGCACGTAACTATATTTTACAACAAACATGTGTACATATTATAAGATTAATTTCTGACCTTGTCGTTTGTTGTGCTCTTTTAGATTGACGAAAGGCGTGTGTCTGTCTGCCCAATGAAGTTTCACAACACTACCAGTCAGCCAATCGCATGCTCCCGTCAATGGATAAACTTTGACCTAGGACACCGGAAGTACATATTAAATTCAAGATTGTTGACTTTAGTAGAGATAAGCAATGTCAGCTGTTGTTACTAAATTCCAATTATATGCTATTAAATATTACATGATGTTAGTGATGTGTATTTGTTCGATTTACTTGGATACCATTTTCAATATTCATTATTTGAACGATGAATAATTCACTCAGCCAGTTCTACATTATTGCCTTTTTTTTAACATGCCATTAGGAGGCGCTGTTGCTGCAGAAGCCCCCCCCAGACATGCTGTCAAACAAACTGTGACTCATTTAACATTCTTTCTATTTATCACTTAATCACTGGCTCACAAATCACACACGGGACACAGACCTCTCGACACAGTGCATGCCATTTTTATTCAAGAGTTGGTCGATAAACTATCATAGTAGCAATGGCTCTTATAGTTCTGTACAGTATTGGGTTGGATTGGATAGGGTATACTTGCAGTAAATGCTTATGAGGGATATAAAATATACTAAACACAGCAACATCATTCAGAGCATTCAGCAGGACAAACCTGTGTCAAAGTGGCAATGCAGACAGTGGTATATAATGCCCAGTTAAGATACAGAGAAGGAGTTATGTACTTTTAACATATGAATCCATCCTCTGCTGTTGAAACTGTAAGGCAGTATATGTTTTGATTGCAATGTAGTACGGCTATTCATCAGATGACTGATTACCTCACGGTACAACAAAATTTACAACTTTAAATTAAACAAAACAGCATCTCTGACTAACAAACAGAAACCAAACTGTGTTGTGTGTGTGTGTGAAAAAGTCTTGCAGGAGGTGAACATTTTCTTGCAGTATCTATTATGACAAGATGGCAACAAAGCAGCAGTAGAGATACGTTTAAATACTGAACTAAAGAAGACTGGTGAAATCAAAGAAGAGCAGGTGGACGGTGGGAAGCAGCTGCCTATTATGGTCTCCCTGTGGAAACAGGTTGTGGCGAACGCAGCCTCATTAACCGTCAACCTTCGTATTTAACCCCAGGCATTACTCCAGCTTGAGCAGTTCCACGTCGAATATGAGCGTGGCGTTCGGAGGGATGACCCCGGGGTGGCCTGTCGCTCCGTAAGCCATATCTGGTGTGCAGGTGATTTTTGCCCTCTGGCCCAGGCTCATCTGAAACACAGGAGAAAAAGAAAACATAACTGAGTATGTTTTCACAGAACACAGGTGTTACCAATAACATTACTGAAGGCATAGTGTCCCTGCGAGACAGTCTGGTGTACGAGTTTCAACCGGTTTGATTTCATATGAACCATTTGGCCAATTAAAGAGACAAGAAGCAGTTCTCTGCCATGTCAACCCTTTAATGACATTCCACACAGACGACAAGAACTCAGAAACGCAGTAGAAAATTTCAGCTGGGCTCAAAAATGGTTAAAACTATAAGCCAGCACAAAACAACAACAGAAACCGCCATGTTCTAAACAGACACAAATTACACAGATTACAAACACTAACAAAAAGTAGCATTTGCATTTTGGAACATAAAACAGTAAACTTAGTCCAGCAGTAGCCATGACTAAAAATTGTTGGCCGTTTAAGGTAAGGCAGTAAGTATTACTTTTCAAATTAAAAGCCCTCTAGCTTTTCAGTGGACATAAACACTTTATTTACAAGGCTTTTATCGTGAAACATTCGCAGGAACGTGTTGGGGAAGACTCATCTTTCATGGGTTCTCTTATTATGTTAGGCTCGGAAGAGTCACGTGCGACACCTAGTGGTAAAATTCTGTATTACTGGTCTGATCAGGTATTTGGCTATCAAACTGGTTTGAAAATCAGCCCATCCCTAGTGACAATGAGCCAGCATGCACAATACCGGGACCATGAAACTCCAGCAGATTAGCTAAATTCAGCAATCATTAATTTTATTATTTACACCCGTGGTTTCCCATAAAATGTCTCCTGATAAAAAGGCCCATTATCATTCTTATTGGTCCAACTCCACAAAATTTGAGATACATGTTTTACTGTTTTCCTACGTTTGAGAGGGCCATTGGTTTCTGTTCATTTCAGCATAAAAATCAACACACAGCGACTTGCTTTAAAACCACCATCAACTGTCTTGTTTCTTCAACGTTCACTCAGCGGCAAAAATCAGCCTTTAAACTTGAAAGAAATAATGATGTGACATTTACTGTGATAATTATCGGTATCGAATGATATAATGTTTCATCGTGATAGCATTTTCGGCCATATCGCCCAGCCCTATGTTGTCTGAACTTTCCCCTCTTACCTGTGCTACTCCTTCCTCCCATCCCTTAATGACCTCCATCCGTCCAATCTTGAACTTGAAGGGCTTGTTCCTGTCTCGAGAGGAGTCAAACTTCTTCCCATTCTGCAGCATGCCTGCCAAAAACAAATTACATTAACACAATTCAGAGAGTAGAGAAGCGTGTGGTTAAGAAACGGCCCATTTTGGTGATCCGATACAAAATAAAGACAATTGCACAATTATTTTTGGGCTGTTTTTCACATCTGTATCGTCAGTTATCACAGTGTGATGCCACATCGCTGCACGCCCTTTCCTCAGTAGCTAATGTTTTTGGAATGAGGCATTTTGAAATTAAAGACATAAAGCAGTGCTGGCTCCAGTCAGAGGAATTATTCTGGCGGGGCCTCTTATCTGGATCTTGGGTCCGTTTCAATTACCCAAATGAACAAAGGGAATGTGAATCAGGAAGCAGTGGCCTGGTTTAGTGGATTATTTTTAAAATTAACTAGGCCGTTGCTTGCCTGTATCTAGACCACAGGGAGAAACGGGTAACAAAGGCGGAGCAGTGCAGGACTGCGCTCCTTCCGAACACTGACCGGGCATTTAGACATGATAATAACAGTGGGGCCATTAAACGCTACTAAAAGGCACAGAGACACTGGCCCCCACTTCATTAGTCATTGACCTCCCCTTGCCACTTACCCTTCTGGGACTCAAAGTTGCCATCTGAAGCAACGTTCTGCAACTCTGATAACTCGTTTGAACTTACTGACCCTTATGGCGTCCAAGAAAGCAAGTCAACACAACAAAGCAGGCTTCAGGACAGTTTGTTATTTTCGGTGCACAATGTATTTTTGTGGAACAGGCGATATCTAACTTTAAGCAAACACTATATAGAGAATTTTCACTGTGGTGCGGTGCCTGTACGGGACTGCTATTGAAGACTAATGGCAGCTTGCTCATCAAAACAAATTCTAATTTACAAATATGGTTATACACAGGACACAGCCACACAACAAATGAAGATTATTGTCATCAAAATAATGGTAAATAAATTTTTGTTACATTATTAGTCTCAATCTGTATAAAGAGACCAATTTATATAGAGTGTTTAATCTTCAATATCCTACATTATACCTAGCTGTCAGTGAGAAATACATTATTATGTGATAAATGTTTAACATGTCAGTAGTCAACAGTTCATTGTGGGAAATTAATTAATTAATCTGGTTGTATTAGTCCATTGTGGGCACTGCTGCATATCTGTGTTTTGTGGTATTACTGGGATCAGGACCTTCAGGATCGTTCAGGCATTTCACTCCCTGCATTAGAAAAACACAGATGTTCCATTCATCTTATTGTATGACTAAACTGTTTCTAAATTGAGTGTCCACCCCTAGTATGAACATTGAACTTTTTAAACCCAGTTCGCAGTCTTGCAGGCAGTCAAAGTGGCGTCACGCGAAAAAGATTCCACAACATCCACTTGCACTTTGGAGGTTGCTCAGTGATGGTGCTTTGATTTATCTTTCTCTGTCGTAATTCAGCAAGTGTAAATTCTTGGCATTTAAAGTTATGCGCTAACTGAAGTTTAGCAATGGTGTCTGGTCATATGAATGTTGGTACTGTACTGCTTCTCCCCTTTCATTCCAACCTAAACTTAGTAGCTCCATCAGATATCAGTGGCCTGGGCTTGGTCCATCCATGGAGTCATCAAGTGCACACACCAAGGAATATACCACCTGCTACAAGCCATTCGAGTGGCACAGAGGCAAGGCCTTCTTGCATCAACTGCAGAAAAGCGGGTTCAGTTTCCGGCAATGGCAGCTGCGACTTGCAAGGAAAAACTGATTGGCAATGTTCACGCGTGGGAAGCCAGTGAGGGATCATATCCTGGACACTGGTTGGTTGGGGTGTTCTGAGACCAGCTAGCGCAAAAGGAGACATTTTACATCTCAAAACTTAACACTCTACTGGTAAAGGCTTGTCCATATTGCGCTAAAAGCAGCTAACAACTCCAAGCTAATTGGAAAATTCAGCACCGTTTAACAACAGCAAGGACTGTGGTACACACTGGCAACTGGCTTAAACCAGTTAGAGTAAAAAAACAACAGAGAAAACAGAACCTGCTCCTTGTTTTATGTAGGAAAAATACACAGAAGCGTTGTTCTAAAGAGAAATATGGATTCCAGTATTTCACTTAGTGACAGCATGGTTTGACATTGTACACTGTACATGTGCAACATACTGAACGTCTATGTAATGCTACCTTAAATTCTTGCTACAACATACATAAAGACAGCTAGGCTAAACAGGCACATACATGTTTCACTCATGGATCTCAGACTGTAAAAAAAAACTACTCCCCACTTGTATCAGTTCTCCGTTATCACTCTTTGGGCAGCTAAGCATGGGTGGGTTATCTGCAAAACTAAAGCAGGGCCCGTCCCTTCCTGAGGCTGGCTCCCACACTCTCTCCTCATGAAAGGCTTTCACTTGGTAGTGCTCTGGCCAAACCTGCAGAAAGCTGCGCTGCACAGGGGTGGGGTTATTTTTACTCCGTTTACTGTATCCTGTCTCGCCCCCGTCTAGGACGGCTGCCAGCACAACAACCCCCTTGGCCCAAGTGTGGATGAAATAAGATGCGTGTAAAGCCATTTGTCTATGACAAACTTATATGTGTTGCCGCAGTTCACAGCTGCAAGCATGCTCGCCTCAGTGGAAAGAATTAAATCTTCATGCTTCATAAACTGGAAGTAGGTGCGATGTGTAATTATGAGTATTTTCAGCAAAGACAATAACTAGCAAATTGGTTGCTGGAGAAGGTAAAAGTATCCTCAGCAATGGCTTAAATGTTACTCTAATATTATCATTATTATAAAAGAGACAATTCTGAACAAGATATGGGCTGTTTGATAATTAAAAGAAGATATTCTGAATGCAAGCTATTGAAGACATCTCAATATTCCCCTACCGGGACACCTAGACGCCATAGTTCAGTAACAGCTCAACCTGATTTAGGATTTGTTTTGTGTGTCCCAGACAGTTTAGAATCTGTACCAACTCTTTTCTTGCTTTCTCTTAATCTGTGATATTGGGATTGAACACTTCCCACAGCACTCAGAATCAGAAATACTTTATTGATCTATGAGTTTTGAAATTCTTTTGTCACAGTTGCACACTTATCGAGGCATCAGGAATAGAAAATAGAAAATAATAATAGAAAGTACCTCTTTAGTAATAAAGAGTAAATAAATATGAGAGTATAAATATAAGATATAAAGAAAACTATAAAGGAGTGTGTATTTACAATATTTACATTATTAAAGAATTATTATGTTAAACAGTATAAATGAATAAATAGCAGCAGCTCAATCACAACATTCTGCCTTGGAAGGCGAGTTTGGCATTTTCCTGACATACAACCCCGTGTTTCAGTCTCTTATCTATTTCTGTGTCACACACCAAGGGCCGTTACGTCTCAACTTCAGCACGTTTCATGGTGAAGTCTGGTGCTCAAACATGGTAAGGAATTACGTCCACATTTAGGCTTGACATCATATCCAGTGAGCCTGTTGGCCCCAAAGCTAATGCGTCTTATCACCGGAGAACGAAAAAGGCTATTTAATGTCACACTCTGTGGAAACCCAAGTTTTCTTCCTATTCCTGTTCAGATCTGCTTCTGCTTTTCTTCTGGACACACAGACCATCCAAATGTAAAATAGATGATAACGCATCTCAGGCCAGCTTGACCCACACCAGCATGCTGGTCTCTGTGATGTGCTACTGACAGAGCTGCTGCCAGGCAGACAGACTCGCACTCAGCCGTGTCAGAAACAAGAATGTGTGTGAAAGAGTGAGCAGCTTTTCTAATTACTTTGTCCTGGCCTCTTCGTGAGCCCTCTGCTAATTTGGGCAACCACAACTCTCACCAAAGTCAGAGTGGGGGGTCAGTCTCGTCTCCACGTGTCTATACGCTCTGGCATGTGTGTGTGTGTGTGTGTCTGCACGTTTAAAATCCCACAGGTGAAAGTGAGGATCAAAATGGGCACAGCAGTGAGAGCGGGGAGGATGAGGCTCCCTAATGCTAAATGCTGGAAATGGAAGGGCTTCAAATCCCAGGAGTTATTGGGGAAATCTCTCCCTCCTTAGCCTCACTGTTTATCTTTCGCTCTGCTATCTGGAAAACTGACACCAAAGGCAGGGTGGCTCTGCACTGCACAGCCAGCTGGATGGCTTGGGCAGGCTTATGTTCCCGAGCTACAGCTAACCGCTATGACCAGTGCTATCTCTTTATTAGATCTTGAACTAATCTTGTATTTGAGCTTTTAAATAAAATCTCTGCCTTTACTAGGGCGTTCTGACCTTAAAAGTTAGTGTGTAATCTTACATACAAATTCCTGGATAACTAACCCACACTGGCTGACTATCCCAGTATACTGCTCACTCCCTAGATTACACTAGGTTAACATAATAAGCGTGAGGGTGAGTTGCTGATGGAGACTAAAACTCTGTATCTGTTTATTTATTTATTTATTTTTTGCTAATTTACTAACCAAAAAGCCTAATTGTAGGTTAGAAGGAAACCAGGCCACCAGGCAAAGACCAAGAGACTATCAAACCCCGACTATGCAAGACTCCAGACTGAGATACTGTATCTCTGCAGAGATCTGGCCTGAAGGCAAATCTGGTTACTTTTTTTCCACTGTCCCAAAAAAAGTTGAACAACATAGCATTTGTTTTCCAGAGTTGGCCTGCATCCTTCTGAATATGATCACACACACACACAAGCTAGTCAAACAATGCCGAAATTCTTTTATGAAACCAAACACTATAAGAGAGTTAGTCAAGCCAAGTATTCAATACCGTGATAGACAAAGACGATGGCGGGAGCCCATTTCAAATGATGAAAAGGAGATCCCCACCATCATGGGAGGGAGGAGCAAGAACTGGCTATATACTAAAAACATACAAGCACACACAATACAATAATACTCACACACCTGAATGAAACCTGTTTGCCACAGAGCCAATTCCAAGGAGCATGCGACAACTTTTAAAACCATGTAATAACACTGTGACACTCAGACAATGACAGTCGGAATGACAAGTGAACTAGGCTTTGTTTACTTTCTGTCTGACCTAGTTGTCTGGACTGCCAACCCCAGGGCATCGAATAACCCAAATTTATTTCCCAACCTCGGCGTCTCACTGCCCCGACTCAAAACTGGGCAATCTGACAGGAGACAAACAGGATAAAGAAAGTGTGTGTGTGTGTGTGTGTGTGTGTGTGTGTGTGTGTTTGTGTACATGAGAGCATGGCGCAAGTTGCAACAGTCTCTAAAATGGCACAGACACCACTAGACATAAGCAAAATCATATTTTCTGGGTGTGGTTTCAGCTCCACCCCAGCTCTTAGAAAGCGTACGGGACACATAGGTGCATACATGTCTTGTAGACTGTGTACAACAGTGCGAGCTGGGCTGCAAACAGAACCCAGGTTTGTGCTCCAGATATTGTAAATTAAAAATAAACACACACACATAGGGACAAATTTCCTCCTTCAACAAGGAGACAGGAGAGAAGTCAGGTTACAGGATTGCCAAAAGCAAGGAAAGAGTCAGTTACCTATGTAATGTACGACACATGTCTGGCCCTTCTTTGGAAATGTTCTTCCTGTTAGGAAGAGAGAGAAAAACAAGTCATTGTGTGTTTGCAGGCTCCAGAGGCTGCCAGGGCTAATCTAGTAGATTAACAATGACTGGGTTAAATTTGCTGTGGTGTTCCTGGCAGGAATGCAACACTTCTCATATGCCTGCAGATATAAGTAACTGAATTCAGCTATGTCTCTGTTTGTCTCATCCTCATGTTGAAACCTTAGCCTGGAGACTTCATTTTCCAGGGCAAGGGGCTATCAAATGCTTGCCTCTAGGTTAATTACGTATTAGTACGTTACACAGGGATAAACAACTGTCTGCCAAATCTCAAGTTACTTTGTGAGCAATTTCAATTTAACCCCTTTAACAGTAACGTTAAGAGTAACAGTAACGTTAAATATGGAGACTTCTAGAAAGATGCAGTGCACGATGAACAACAGTGAAAATTGGGGTTTACAGACCCCTACAAACTGAATACTACTATAAATTGCTTTCTATCTATCGAGTATATTACCGTAGCTTCCACAGCAATAAACTTTATATTTCATGTGCATTATGTTGACATTTAACAAGATTTGAACTCATTCCGGGGAACTAACGTTACAGAGCCCCAACACCACCTCCACCCCCGCATCAGAGCACACACAAGAGGATAAATCAACTTACCATCACCGGGAGATATTGTCTCGACTTCCACACCCATGGTTGTGCTACTTCAAAGATGAGCTCTAACACATACAGCCAAAAAAGACGCTTCGACAGCCAGTGTTACCCGTTTTGCGGCTACAAGTCGGGCTATATTGGTGGAAACCATGCATTCACCGACGACTGCCGAGCAGTAGCTACAGCCAACCGTGACACAGCCAAGATATTTCCCAGTTCGTAGCGAGGCAGCGTCGAGATGTACGACTCCGCCGCGTACGTCGTCTTCAGCCTTGTCAAATCCTCAGCGCCACACCGCGGTTGTGCCAACTTTCCACAGTGGATAACGTACTCAGATCTTTTACACCAGTAAAAAATAGCAAGACCCACTGTTACAAGTAAAAATGTTCTGCATTTAAAAAAATAATTAGCATCAAAATTACTTAATTAACTTAGCCTACTCAGTATGCAAAATAGCCCATTTCAGAATATTATTGAATATTATGAATGTGTACATCACTTCAATATCGCAGCTGGTAAATTCAGGGCTAAATTTAAACTGGCAAGAAGTAAAAACAAGCTGCTTATAATTTAACTACATATCCCATAATGCATCGAAAACGTCAGTCAGTTTTGCTTCCGAGTCAAATACAAATGAACGTTAGAGACTCCGGTGAAAAGTGTGTTCATAGATGTGACCCCACTTTTAGTGTTTCGCACGGATTACACATGAGGAGCCTGTGGTTATATAAGGTACGCTTAAAGTAAAATTACGTTTGTGTGGATTTTTACGCTAGTTAGCCTGCTAAATATAAAGGCTTAAGTTATAACAATTTCCAGTGAATAAGGTTAACGTTATGAATTGGGAAAACTTCTGCGTCTCATAATGGTGGCAACGTTTATATCCTTCTCATTTACTCACAACCTCTTCTCAGTAAGGTAGTATTCTGATATTTTCTATAACGTCTCCAGACATTTGTTATATTCTGATTTAACTTACATGTTCAAGTTTGTTCCAGCATTAAATGGTCAATTGTAAATTTAACTCATGCAAATATTTTAATATCCATTTTCTTTGTCTTATTCATTTGACATTTGACATTTGATGAGGAACAACATCTCCATTTGGGACCTCCTCCTTTATTTACCTGTAGTGATCAGGTCAGTTTTACCAGATGTTAACACTAAATGCTGTGATGAGACACTCCTACTCAACACATAGTATTGTTAATTCCCTGAGGCCCTCACAGGACCTGTGCGTTGTTAAGGTCATTCAGGCGTAAGCAGCTATAATTGCTCGTCACCACTGCCTCAGCTCAGGCAGATTAAGGCATGTACTTGGAAGGAGACAGGAGAGAGGCTTTTTCTGTTCTTAATCTGCATAGGTAGCAGTAGCTACTGTTTGTGCAGGACCCATTCAGATCAGACACAGGTCTCTGTCATCAATGTTACTTTTCTGAGTCCTATTATTTTTCTTTTTCTCTTTGAACAAGTTTCTTTAGCACCTGCCAGGATGGATCTTGGGAAGGCAAAGCTTCTTAGGTCAGGTCTCAACACACTACACCAAGCCATCCACCCTGTGCACGGTATAGCATGGACGGACGGCAAGCAGGTCTGCCTGACCACTCTCTACTTCATCAATGGCGAGGTGAAGTTTGGGGACACCAATGTTATCGGGCAGTTTGAGCATGTCTTTGGTCTCTTCTGGGGCCCGCTGTGCTGCTCGGACTCCCCTGCCTTGCTGGCTGTTCAGCACAAGAAACATGTTACCGTGTGGCAACTGCAGCTCAGTGCCCTCGAGCAGAACAAGCTGCTGTGCACTCAAACCTGTGAGATGAGCGAGCCTTTCCCCTTGCTCTCCCAAGGCTGCGTGTGGCATCCTAAACTGGACATTCTGGCTGTGCTGACAAAGAAGGACAGCTCCGTGTTGTTTTCTGTCAGGGTGGACAACAGGAGAACCAAAGCAGACATCAAAGGTAGTGGACTCATCCACTGTGCATGCTGGACTAAGGATGGTACGCGCCTGGTGGTGGCTATAGGCAGTGCTCTTCACTCTTACATCTGGAACGACATCCAGAAAAGTCTGGTGGCCTGCTCCTTCTGCCCCATCTTTGACGTGGGAGGCTACATCTGTGCCATCGAAGCTACGGGGGAGGCTCAAGTAGCTGTGGCTACAGAGCTGCCTCTGGATAAAATCTGTGGGTTAAATGCGGGCATAGCTTTCGACATGCAGACAGAGCCTGACTCCCCGCATGGCCGCAACTCGCAAGTGGGCGTGCCGGACGACGACAGCCTTCTGGATTCGAGGCGAAGATCATTTGAATCAGAGCGGTCCTACATCCCCAGCTCAGGCCCTCTTGACCTCACCCACCTCTTGGCGAGGCACCGTCGCTCTGACCCCAGCCCACTTATTCACCTGCGTCGCCGAGACACCATGACAGGCTCTGGCCAGGACTCCTCGCATCTCATCCTGGTCACCTATGAGCGTAAAGTCACAACCTCCCGAAAAGTCAGCATTCCTGGGATTTTGGTACCGGACATTGTGGCTTTTGACCCACGCGGCTCCACAGTCGCAGTGGCTTCCAACACCTGCAACATGGTGCTCGTGTACTGCATCACGGCCTCCGCTATGCCGAACATTCAGCAGATCTCTCTGCAGACAAATGAGAGGCCCAAAGGAGTCTGCTTCCTCAATGACAAGATGCTGCTGTTGATGGTGGGCCGGCAAAAGTCCAGTGACCCTGTCTTCCTTCCGTCCTCTAACACAGATAAATATATTCTTCATCTCCTAGCCAAAGAGTTGATATACGATGGAGAGACTCCTATTGCACCATCCCCCTCTGCCCACAACCATGAGTCCGCATCTAATTTCTGCGCAGGGATTAGGAGGCACTCGGAGCACCTATCTAAGGATGACAGGGAGCGCTCAGGGATAAAGGACTTGGTGCTGCCTGGAGGGGGAGTATTTCGCTCACCGGGCAACAGGCGCAGGCTGGTGGAGGAGGTGAGGAGCGGCGAGCCGAGCCCCGTCACCAGCTCTGTGGACTTCTCTGACCGAGCATCAGACAGAGCCCTGTCCAGTGCCTCCTCCATCGCAGTGGAGAATTTCGATATGGACCATGTCAACCGCATGACCAACCTGATGGTGGCCGGCCGCCAGGCCAGCAGAGACTCCAGCCGGGCCAGCTCTCCTCGCCTCGAGCCGTCGGACAAGCTTCACACAGATCCGACGCTGCCGATGCCTGAAAAGACATCGGGCCCTGCCAGGGAGCGCTCGCTGGAGCAGCTGGTTCAAAACATGGAGAGGCTTTTTACGCGCTTTGCAGATGTACAGCAGTGCCTGGCAGAAATCAGAGACTATACCCAGAATGGCAAGAAGGCCCCGAGTGTCTACCCCAATGCGTGTGAACCCCCCTATGTCAATGTCACATGTCAGGTACAGTTTTACTCACTACATTTTGTAATTCTAACTGACTGTGCAGGGATAATAACCGTAGCTAGGGGGTGGGGAAACCCCATTCAGATTCTACAGTACCTGAAGTCATTTAATGTGTTACAAATGAAAAGTGCAATTATGGTGTTTAATTATCAGGTATCAAATAAATATATTTATTAACTGTTACAACAGCATTTATCGTGACTTATTTGATTAATTCTTCACTTCGTCCTTCTTTGTGTACATGCAGAAACAGTTATCCGAAAATGTGTTCATTGATGAGCGCAGGCCAGTGCTGCTGTGTGACGGGAGGCTGTGTCTGCGTGCCCTCCAAGACCTCTTCAACCTAACCATTGTGGAGATGATGTACGGTACGTGCTGCCTGTCAAGTTCATAAATAAAACGCTGTACTTTTTTTGGCCTCCATTCTGATAAGTGGCAAACTCTATACTACTTTCAAGACTTAATTGCTTTCAATCCATTTAAACCTTAGAACCGGTTTGTCTTTACTATGAAGAAGTATCTAAGCTGCCTTCTTAAAACCTCCTGCGTCGCATTGCCTGTGAGATTAACTGTGTTGTGAGAGTAGTGTGTGCAGGGTTGACAAATTAAACTCCTTCTAGGCCTCTTAGGAAGGTCTCCCCCTGTGAGTATTTTCAGCAAGCTTGTGTGATGTGCTTTCCCTGGAAGTCATCAGACAGGTTGTCCAAGTGGAACTCACTCTTTTTAAACCCTTACGTAACCCTTTCAGATTGCATTTTAATTGAGTAAGAACCTCACCTTTTATTGTGCGATCTTAGATAACACATTGCAGCATTGTCTCTGTTAACGTGCGTAAGCTATAATTGGAAGTGATTTTAAATCCTAGGTCAGATTACAAGGTCTTAAACAAAAGCTGCTTAGTACTATTTAATGTGCAAAGTGTTTTGTTGCTGCTGCAAAGACTTACTGTCCTGTCCAGCAAGTAATAGCTGTCACAAGCTACATTTTGTAGTGGTTTGACACTTCATGTGGGTAATTAAACAGAACTCAGATGTAGCGAAAACCTTGCTTACCTAATAGTCTTGTTATTTTTCCAGGTCCATTGTGGATTGTACTTGTGGCAGATGCAGATGGCTTTGTGCCTCTAACATTCAAGGCCAAAGAAGAACTTACAGTGCGGAACGGGAAGCGGAAAACTAACCTACGGACTCCTGGCAGTCCGGAGAACTCCTGCCCATCAAGTCCAGCCCCCAGCCAAAGCCCCAATACAAACACAGAGCCCTCCACATAGTGCCTCTTAACGCACACCTCAATTTATGGACTCATGACGTCGTATCACTGTTACTTTAATATCTTTGACTGAATCCATGTATGCAAGGCAGCGTGGATGTGGCACGAACATGTAGAGCTTTATTAACCCAAAAAACCAGAGGTAACACTTCAAATTTATTTTTGTATTGAAAAACTAGTGATTTGAAAAGTGCTGCCTATTCACATGCTATGTTTACATGTTGCTGCTTTGAAATGAAAGCTTACCTGGAAGAACTTAAGCACCGAGCCATGTTTTTTTCTTTAATTGTTTGTTGAAAAAAGGCAGTGCAGTGGTGGTCAAATCCCTCGTTTACGCCGGACACCGATCGTCGTGCCATGGCGCTCTACTAACAGCTTTGAGTATGTTTTAGAGATGTTTAAAAAATGTTTTCTGGTGTCTTGGTACAAGAACCAATGGAGACTTATGTATGATGTAAGTGTTTCATTTTGATCTGTATTTTTTATCCCTGGAGCACTGCTGAGATCCCCACACTTATGGATATATGGTGCATGAAAATCATATTTTACCTGTAACATCTCTCGATTAGCGCTTTAATGTGAAAACTCAGATGTTCAAAGTGTAATTCAGCCTTGTTCTATTATCCTCTGTGGCATATCTAAAATGTTAAAGAGAACAGAGGTCAAGCACTTTCTTCTGCAGTTGTAATGTTACCAAGCTCAGTAACACAAATGACCACTAGAGAGGGGGCAAGACCCAACAGAAACCTCCCTGTTATTGCTATACAGTGTCCTTCAGAGCTCTATTGAAACCCAAATAAGTGTAATGTGTATCTTTCGGTAGCACTTAAAATATTAAATTTGCAAACTAGCGTGCACTTCTTTGTTTGTTACTTATTTTACTTTAGTAAAGAAACACAACACACACATTTATTCAGTCTACCTACCAACCTCTACAACATTTATTCATTTCATATCATCAGCCCTCAGTAATCATACATCATAAATAAATAACAGTGTTGTAGAGCTAAACACAGCAAATAATGATACACATTCATTTATATAAATTAGATAATATTATATATTTATATATCCAAGATAACTGTACAGTACATGTGATAAAACAAAAATGTTTAATTAAAAGAATTTAACTATTTATCAGTGTAATATACACTAATGAACAACTTTCCAGCTGCGTCACTGGAATACGTGGCGTTGTGAATTCACCCCAGTCAAGGTCCAGGTCACACGTTACTCAAATCTTCAACTGTTCTGGAGCTGATGCTCTGTTTCCTGTTGGAAACATCAGTATTAATGCGTTACATTCATTGCAGCGGTGGGAAGTACTGCACAATTTTGAGGTACTTGTATTTCCATTTTTTGCTACTTCATACTTCTTCATTTAAGAGGTAAACAGCTATGGTTATTAGTTAATTTTCAAATGCAAAACATATAATCACTTTACAAGATGTTACGCATTGTCATATAAACTATCCCATAGTATATACAGCAGTAAAAATTCACTCCAACTTGACCAAATGCAACATTTAAGTACTTCTTTCATGTTAATGTTTCAACAATGATGATCCAATAATATATTATAACACTGGCAAGAGACAGTTTAATTTCACTTTTTATACATTAAGTACATTTTGCTCATAAAACTGCTGTACTTGTATTTCAGTATATTTTGAAAACAGGACTTTTACTTGTAATGGATTGTCTACATCGTGGTATTGCTACTGTTACTTAGTAAATGATCTGAATATTTCTTCTAGCACCGATTAATAGTATATTAAATGTTTTTAGTATCATTGGCACAATGGCACAGCTGAACAGGCTGGCTTTGTTCCACAGTTCAGATGTTTAATAGGAGGGAAGTAATGGCAACGATAACTTAACAGTTATGTCCTCAATGTGGAGATCCTCATGATTCAGTTTTTATATTTCTATTTGATGACATCTCTTTCACAAGGCAGGTTTAAGTGTAATCTCTATTTTGGAACATAAATTGGCCACAGAGAGGAGCTAACCGGCAATAAAAATATCATGGACTAGAGGGGCACTCCAGCTATTTAGAATTACATTTCCATAAAGTTGAGTGACTCACTGGAGTCACATTACAAAAGAATTATGTTTAAAATCAAACCAACAGTGGCAGAGATATCCTGAATTTTATTTTCTAATATGGGTCAAGCTCCAGAAACGCTGGATCCTATAATTCCCATAATGCCACATAATGGCAACTTTAATTAGAACCGTGATGCCTCTTAAGTGCCCACTTTTTTCAGAAACACAGTTTGTAATGCAGGCTTTCTATTTTGTTGTGTTTTTATTTTAAGTCTCTAACCCCAGCCACACTTTCCAAAGGAAAAGTGGCCCTGTCATCAGGATTATTTTTTCATCCCTTAGGAAGCTCCCTCCTGAGCTACAAAAGACAACTGATAATACAACTGAACTTAATGTTTGAACTCGGTGGAGTGCTTTAAAGACTAATGGTTTGTGTATTTTTTCAGGTGTACATTTATGATTTCTACTAACCGTAGCTCGTCCAGGCAGACTTTATTCCTGAGTCGTACGTCTTCGCTGATAGGATAGAACAGTAGGATCAATAACCCTGTAACGATGAAGGCCACTGGTGCGGCACCAATCAGCAGCTTCAGGGTGTACACTACAGGAGCGGGCTGCTTGCAGGCGCCAGTGTCGTACCCTGCAAATCTACACACACACACACACACACACACAAAAATGCAGAGGTCCAATTTAAACACAGGTTACAGGAAAATCGACATGCTGCCAGACGCTGCTGCACTGCAAATGAGCAAAACTCGACAGCTTTCACGTGATGAATCATACTTCAGGTGTGGGGTTAATGCATTTTTGCAAGGTATCACGACACACTAAGTGCAGATGCAGAAGAGTGTGTAAAATGAATCGTGCATGTGTGATAGAAATGCAGACTTACTCCAGGCAGAGGGTGGACACTCCCAGGGAGATGCCAGCCGCGAACTTGGTGAAAAACACGTAGAACGAGTAGAAGATGGCTTCATGGCCTTTAGAGTAGGGGTTGACCAGTCTGAAGTCATCCACCACATCTGGCAGCATAGACCTAAATACACACATACATGCAGAGTTGAATACACACCAATCTGAGGTTTTTGTTTTGTTTTTTTATTGTTTTTTTGCAGGATTTTGTGGGGATGTGTTCTTTGTTTTTAATACTCAACATCACACTAAGCAGATGTGTGCCCAAGTCCTCCCTCAAGCTCTTACTTTAATCATCTTATACAACCACTCAAGATGGTAGCAGCTGATGATGTCTACTTATAGAGCTCTGATAAACCGGTGGGCTAAAATTACAGAGCTAATAACACGATTAGATGATGAGCAGCAGGGGCGGTACCACTTGCCTTCACCCACAGACAGGATAAACAATCGCCCCTACCAAAGTAAACATGCTCCTGTGGGAGGCCCCTGTAATTTGGGCCTTGAGGGAGACGACAAGAGATGAGTGAGGAGCGGAGTCGACCGTAGAAACGAACAGAAAAAAAGTGCTTTACCTCTGGTGTTGTATTAGCTCTGTGATGGTACAGATGTATAGTAGACACCGCCTCTAATTCATAAAGATTATATCACTTTCATGACCGTGACGTGACCCAAACAAATGGACAGGGCCTTCTAGGCACCAAGTCACCACTAACAGCATGTTGGTACAACTAGTGTGGTTTGACTAATGACACTTTGCATCCAATCAAAGGGAAATGATGAGCGGCACAACCACTGCACAGACAGATGTATAGCAGGGTCTGCAAGTACATAAACAATGTCAGGGCTCTCCAATGAACTTGGCACATGCCATGGAGACACCCTGGACAGTCCCAAATAGAGTTGACACAGGCAGATTCTCAGACTCACATTAAAAACAATGGGCACCATCAAGTCTCCAGTCTACCTAGCTTGCCCGTTTTTGAACTGCTAAAAGGAAATTGGAGCACATGAGATGAAGAAGAAAGTCCAGCCTTAAAAGTTATATTTTAAGTTCCACTTTTAAGGCTGTGTCTAAATAAGTGTATTTAAATAATTATTGATCTTATATGTTCTAAAAAAAAAAGTGGTATTTTCCCTGAGGAATAAGGTGGAGGAGACTATTCCCAGAAAATGGTGGTAGTGGATCTTCACTGCAAACCATGAGGATCTATCATATCTGGAGCTGGAAAAATCTAAAGACAATAACCCAGGCAATGCATACCCTCCTTGGTGGTTTCTCCTTTTCTTTTGGACAATATATTTAAAGGGTTACATTATAAAAGAATAAGTGATGATATGCTCTGAAGTCTTACCATGGCAGCAGGAGCGAGGCAGCCACACTGAGTCCAGAGGAGACAGCCACAACGTAGGCCACGACAACATTGGGGATGAAGACCAGCATCAAGGTGAAGGGCATGATCCACTATGATAGATAGAGTGATAAAAACTCTTAAAACTCTCTCAACTTAACAAAAACAAAAAACAAAACGACTTTTTCTGTGATTAAGACAATGACATTCCCAACTTTCTCCACAAGATGGCACAAACATCATAGTGTAATAGCCGATGTTAAAGGAGACCTATTTACTGCATTTCCAGTCCTAAATTGTAGTTATGTGACTCCTGTATGGCAGCTTTGCATGATTCAGAGTTAAATAAAAAGCTTTTTCTGTCTTATACTGGCTCTTCATGTAGGCCTTCATCTCAGCCTCTGTCTGAAGCAAGCTGTAGATGCTACCATCTACAACATGCTGATAGATTGGTGAAGACCTGAAGCATGTTACCAGGGGCAAGTTCAATCACTTTTTTTTTTCAGATTGAACTACATGCTGTTGTACGTAACACAACAGGCTTTGAGTTATGTTGTGGTGTCACAACTGTTACCCAATCAGCTGCGATAAGTTTGCAAACACAACAGTGTTAGAAAGGCAGGAAAATGCAGCGTGCTTGCGTACACAACATGGTGTTCGAGGCGTTTTGCTACGTTTTGTTGCCACTGAACTCGCCCCAGTCTGTTGTTGTCGCAGATGCGGTACAGACAGACTGAGCGTAGCTGTGTGGAGCAAATGACCATATATGGAATACCGGCTCCGTCTAGCTCCATGTGTCGCAGAACGGAGCTGTTGGTAGAAAAAGCTGTTGAAAACACAGCATATGAGAATAGAAGGAAATCTGAGGTTTTTGCTCACAGGGATATCTTTTAAATACTCATAATTTGAAGCTTTGGCCATGTTTAACATGAACATCTAACACTGTAGATAACTCATATAATATGGAAAAGCATAACAGGTCTCCTTTAAAAGCCGCTCTTGCAAACCAAGCTAACAACAGCATACTCACTGTGATCCCGCAAAAAGCTGCCGTCTTCTTTCCAAACCTCTGCAGAAACCATTGCCACAGCGGTATGCTTATCACTGCAGAAACCTGGGTAAACATGAGCAAGCAGTGTGTGACGAATATTGTTTGGAAAGTGATTCAGTCAAGTAAGTGGGTCTGAAATTTAAAGAAAACAGTACTTAGGGGGAAGATTAAGAAGTTTGCATCGTCGTTGTAAGTGTGTGCAAATATGAAACGAGGCAAGCTGCCTTTATTAAAATGTTCATTACATAAAAATATCTTTAGGTACTTGTGAGGTGAATGAGTGATTAAGCTGTACTCACCAGGATGGTCAGCACAATATTTTGGAAGTGATCCCTCAGGTCAGCAGCGTAAGTGCAGAAGAGGACAAAGTTGCTCTGTACCAGCTGCAGAAATCAGAGATCAAACATTCAGATAGTCAGCCTCATCTTGTCTACTCAGCACTGTCGCATGGCACTCAGCACCAAATGAAGTGACTGGAGGAGCTGCTGA